ACTCCAGCTCCAGGGGATCTGGTGCTCTATTCTAGCCTCCACAGGCACATGCATTCAGACACACACAGAAACACAGAGACAGACAGACAGACACACACACACAAACACACACAATTAAAAATCAACCTTAAAATGTAAAATACCCATAGCGGGCTGGATCCTCCTACCCACCTGACCAATCAGCAATCATGAAAAAGAATGACCCACAAACTTGCCCCCAGGTCAGTCTGATGGAGGCCTTACCCCAATTGAGGTTCCCTTTCTCTCTAGGTCTAGGTTTGCTTCGATTTGACAAAAACCAGCTGGCACAGTTACTCTGCCCTAGGGACGGATGCCTAATGGTTTTCTTCTCTTCTCTGAACAGGTTTCAAATGGCCATCTTGACATCTTTGCTGAATTTGACATTTGGCAATCTTACAGGCCATCTTCATTGCCTGCATTTTCTCAGCCTATGGGACGCGCATTCCTGGGCCTTCTCATGTCTTATAATTTTTAAAAATAAATACATTCTGTCATTACTCCTGCCACCGTTGCATATTTAGAGCCTGTCGACATGAGCGACCGTGTATTTTTAGTGGGATTTTCATATTTATGCGCTCCTTCAGAATGTACAGCTCAGTCAGTTTCTTTGACAGGCAGTGGGAAGGGCGAGTTAGTTTGTCAGGCAACACGGTCCCTGCTCTCAATCTGTTTCTCTCCTTGGGAGGAACCCACTGACCCCCCTGCACACCATCTTTGTCAGACCATCAACAATATTTGTGTAACATTTTGTCGCTGCATTTGAGCCACCTTCCCTGTTTGCCACAGCTATTTCAAGCTTTCCTCATTTCCCCTCATTTTTCATTTTTTAAAAGTTTTGAAAACTTCATACATGAGCATTATGTTCACACCACACCGCCCCCTTTCTCTCCCTAACTCTTACTCTTGCGCTCCCCTACTCCCTCTCACATCCATGACTTCTTTTGTTATTATTACATGTACTCACAGAGATATATGTGCGCACACGCACACAAGCACAAATAAATTTAAAGCAGAAAAACAGAGAATAAATTCATATGCACGGGAGCCTGGCCTTTGCCTCTGCCATATCTTCACAAGGAGAGTATGGTTAGAAGGGATAGGTGTCTGCTCTATTAGATCAAGGCAAAGACGTCACCGATTGGAAATATGACATCAGTGGTTTGTGGGATCCAAGATGAACCATGGCAGAGACTCACAAAAGGGTCCATGGCATAAAAGTCTTCCTGACGCATTGAAACCAGTCTTTCATTGCTACTGAAAAAAAGATTATTTATGTTTATGTGTGAGTGTGCCACGCGTGTGCATGTGCTAGCTGAGACCTAGAGAGAGCCAGGTTCCTGGAGCTGGAGTAATAGGCTGCTGTGAGCTGCTCAATGTTGGTGCTCTGAACTTAACTCTGGCCTCTGCAAGAACTGTGTGCACCCCTAAGCCATGAACCATCTCTGCAGCAGCCGCCCCCCCCCCCCATTGCTACACTTTGATACTTGCTTCACTGCATGGTGACTTTGTGTGGCATGCACCTGGCAGCTCAAGCCTGACTCAAGATGCTACTGGAGACAGATTAGGGTCCTATGAGACAATGTATTTGTGACCTTTTTGTTTTGTTTTGTTTCTATTAATGCTGAGCCTGGAAACCAAGCCTTGTCATGCTATGCAAGTTCTTTATTATTGGGTGACTGGGATTTTTGATACAATGTCTTACTATGTTGCACAGGTTGGTTTGGAATATTGTCCTCCTGCCACAGCCCCCCTCCAGTCCCCTCCCCCAGCCCTGTGCTGGGATCACATGTGTGTGCCACATGCTGAGTCCAGTTTCCAATCTTTTGTTTGCTGTTACTAAACATGGGGGGGGGTTGTTTTGTCTTCTGTTTTGAGACACGGATCCTTGGCTGGCTTAGAATTTATTCTATAGCTCAGCCTAGCACAGCACTGAGATCCATCTCTGCCTTTGGTGGGATTAAAGGCATGCGCCACCACAGCCAACACACTTGAAATCTTTTAGTCTCAAAGTTTGACACAGTAGAGTTAGATAAGCATCACTACCTAGCTCAGAAATCTGGCCCCGGCCCCCAGCTTTTGTTAAAATGGGAAAATGTCCCTTCAGTGTGGCAACTGGGGCCTCACAACCCACCCACTCCATTTGACTAATGAGTGCCTCCAGGGACTGCTGATATCTGCCTCATCTACCTGGGAACTTCTCTGCTCAGCTTGGTGACTCAGGTGGCCTTCACCTTGTCAGTTCAAACATTTACTCACCTGTCATCACCTCAGCCACTCCATCCGATGGCCTCACAGCACCTCCCTTCTCTTCAAGCATTTGGCATTTCCTTGGACTGTTCTTACCTAATGCCTGACCCTCTGCTATAATGTTAAGCTCAGAGAGAATATGGACTTTTATCCTCACTGTCTTCTGATGGGAACCCAAAGCCTTAAAAAATATCACGGCTCCAAAACTACCAGGTGAGCAGAGCATGGTGGCACCCACCTGGGATCCCAACAGTCAGGAATTCGAGGACGGAGAGGCAAGAGTTCCTGGCCAACCTAGGCTTCACAGAGAGACCCTGTATCAAAACACCAGAGCGCAACAAAATACAGCAGGAACGAGAGATCAATGAATGAATTCAATCAACTGGGGTATTAACTGTTATCTGAAGGAAGGCCTGCTAGTTTCAGCGTGCTCAAAACCTCCACGGGTGGTATAAGCCAGCCTTGGTAACTGAGTATGAGTCCTCAGCTGGCATTTTTCCTTAAAGGTCACCGGAATGATTTATTTACAGTTCTAGGAATCAACTCAGGGGCTCCAACAAGTTAGAGAAGTGCTCTACCACTGAGCCACACCCCAGCCCCTCACTGGGGGATTCCAGGCAGGGGCTCTACCACTGAGCCACACCCCAGCCCCTCACTGGGGGATTCTAGGCAGGGGCTCTACCACTGAGCCATGCCCCAGCCCCTCACTGGGGGATTCTAGGCAGGGGCTCTACCACTGAGCCACACCCCCAGCCCCTCACTGGGGGATTCTAGGCAGGGGCTCTACCACTGAACCACACCCCAGCCCCTCACTGGGGGATTCTAGGCAGGTGCTCTACCACTGAGCCACACCCCAGCCCCTCACTGGGGGATTCTAGGCAGGGGCTCTACCACTGAGCCATGCCCCAGCCATACCATTTTTTTATTCAATAAAACTAGGGTGTTTGCTTGTTTTGGAGACAGTCTCACACTAGTTCAGGCTGACCTGGACTCACTTCACAGATCAGAATAGATGTGAACTTACAGTGATCATCTTACCTCAGTCTTACAAAATGATAAGACTGCACGTGTGGACCACCACACCCAGCTTTGCCATCTTCTTCTTTCATATTAGTATCATAAAACATTTTTTTCTAGTACCTTATCATTAGATATCCTCCTGGTCCAGAGGACGAGGTAAATTCTTACACTCTTGGTGTCTGCAACCCAAGAGGCTCTTACAGATGTGTGAAGACACTGAGATCTGGCCTGGAGAGATGGCTCAGTGGTTGAAAGCACTGGCTGCTCATCCAGAGGACTTAGGTTCAATTGCCAGCACCTCGTAACTATCTGTAATGCCAGTTCCGTTCCAGGGGACCTGCTGCCCTCTCCTGGATTCTGCTGGCACTGCACACACATGCACAGACAAGCACCCCTACACATAAAAGACTGAGACACGTTCTTCACTAAACAGGCAAGACCACTGCTCACAAAGACAGCAGACCACCATACAGAGGGCTTCCTCTTAATGGCTGCACTGACCATTACCCACAACCTCCAGGGTGAGATCAGGTGCTGCAATAAAACCCACACCATTGAGCACTAAATGAGCACCGCTTATGTAAATAATCTTAGTGGCAATAATAAGAGAGATAATTGCTCACAGGTGTCATTTCCTGGGGAAAAGCCCACCTTTTCTTCTGAGAGAAAATGCTAATAGTTTCATTCAATTTATGGGTCTTAATTAGCACACTGCTGTTCTAATTATTGTGCGGGGCCTGAAATCACTTCCCTGCACCCCTCTCCCTCTCCTGCACATCCACACTCAATCAGCCATGTCCCCCCCTTTATGAATATGCACTTCTGGGCATGTGCACACATCTGCGCATGTCAATCACACAGCACAAAGTGACGGCATTCCGAAAGCAATCTGTCAGTCTTTGCCTTTGTCAGGAGCCCTTTCCCCATTTCCCACCCCCCCACTCGTGCTCGCAAACAGAGAGACACACATAGGTCTTGATTTTATTTTTAAGATGCGTTCACTTCATCTATTTATGATTTCTTTGTATTTTATGTACATTGGTGTTTGTTTGGCCTACATGTGTGAGGGTATTAGAACCTCTGGAACTGGAGTTACAGACAGTCATGAGCTGGGAATTGAACCCCGGTCCTCTGGAAAAGCAGCCAGTACTCTTAACCACCGAGCCATCTCCCCAGCTCCTGCATCTGGATTTTTACATGGGTCTTTGTGCTTGTCTGGTAGTACTTTTATCCACCATGTTTTTGTTATGTATTTATGTAGGCAGCTAAGAGCGCTGGCTGCCCTTTTGGAGGGCCAGGGTTTGCTTCCCATCGCCTACATGGCGGCTCACAACCACCTATAACTCCAGTTCTAGGGGATCTGGTGCCTCCTTCCGGCTTCCACGGGCACTGAATGTAATATACAAACATACACACAGGCAAAATACCATATGCATGAGATAAGCAAATCTTTAATGTTTTTATACAGCTGGGTGTGGTGATGTAGGCCTGTAAGCCCGGCCTTCAGAAGGCTGACACAGGGGAGTCCTGAGTTGGAGGCTAGCTTGGGCTACCCAGCAAGGTTCGAGGAGGGGGGAGAGGAGACTGAGAGAGAATGAGAGCTTGGCAATGGGACAGAACCACGACGCCCTCATCACTGGTGATTTACTGGCACAGATCTCACAGATCTGTGCCCTCTAATTTGACCTTCAAGCAACACAAGGCACTGGGGATCATTGAAAAGAGCTTTATTTAGTATATAATCTCCATACAATTCAGTACAACAAATTAGAAACGCTCTTTCTAAGCTTTTCCCCAGCACGTGCCACACACCGGAAGGTCAGCCGCTGCCCCGACCTGACAGCAGACCCACAGTCACAGGCTGCCATGGCTGGAGCAGCGGTAGATGTTTGATAAGACAGACAGGATCCCAGAACACTTCATGCTCTTCCTCTAGCCCCCAGCTGAGATTTAAAACCAATGTTTCAAGTACACTTTGGCTAAAGATGAGCTGCATTTTGGGGGAATACCTTCGTATCTTTAGTGGCGCTGTTGTTATGCTCGGCTAACACACCGGAAATCAAGCGGTGGGGCGGCTGTCCTGGTTACTAGCCAGACCTCTGTCTGTCGGCCATGGCAGCAATAACTGTCTGTCTAATGGATAATGGGGGAGCTGTCACCAGTGGTGGACAGCAGCACGTTCACTCGCTGATATTCTGATGAGAAGCCAGAGGCTTTTGTTTCACGGGAGTCCTTGCCTGCGGTTCTTTCTGGCATAAATCACACCAACCCCAGGATTTGGGAAGAACGTTTTCCCGCCAGTGCTGGGAACAGAACCCAGGACCTCATGCAGCGTTAGGCAAGTTCTCCACCATGGAGCCACCTGCCCAGCTTCCAGCGAGACATTAGAAAGATGGGCGTGGCAATGAGGGTTCTAAGCCCATTCATGCCCTTCACCTTTATCCCCCTATGCTTCATAACTTTCCTGATCACATTTAACTTCTAAAGACTACTTCCCCTTCCCTTTTAACTCTGGCTCTGTGTGGGAATGGGCACGTGAGTGCGGTGCCTGCTGAGGCCTGAAGAAGGCACTGGTCCCCAGGAGCCGGAGTCACCGGCAGTTGTGAGCTGGCTAACATGGTGCTGGGAATGGAACAAGGGTCTTCTGCACAGCTCACATACACTACTGAATCATCTCCCCAGACCCAGGCGTGTCACATTTAAAAGCAATTTTCATGAGAAACCGACCTTACCAAAGTATCCCATTTACATTTTTTTTTTTTGCAAAAGTATCTGTCTGACAGTCGGTGTGTCTGTTTTTCTGCAGTGCTAGCTGGTGATCAAGCCTAGGGCTTTGAGCGAGGCCAGGCAAGCACTCTGGCAAGTGGCACCCCAGCCCTCTTGTGCTTGGGCTCTGTACTTACGGTCAGAAGCAGAAGGTGTACCCAGAGATCTGGGTTGGACTATGACTGGAGCCAGGCACGGGTTTGCAGCAGGTGGCTTCCAACAGGGCTGGAGCCCTGAGGCTCAGGGAGTCCCGAGTGGAGTTAATTAAGTTCTGTTGTACTTAGAGGTTCTTCCTGGAACTCAGCAGCGAAGCCTAGTGCTTGCTCTCTCTAGAGCCACAGCTCAATGCTATCAGCCAGAAGTAACAGTTCCCGGGCCCCAACAGCAAGGAGTGAGGGTTACAGGGTTCCAGCTTCAGCCTGCCTGGCTGGCTGGGGGCAACAGCCAAGGGTGGGCCCTCTTTCCTCCCGTGTGCTCGATGATGAGGTCACAAGCTAACGTCCTGATCAGAGCTAAAAGTATCAAACATGATTTGTCGAAAGATTTGCTCACCAAGAGTAAAAACTTGTCCTGTACACATCACAGTGTCTCGGGCAGAGCGCCTGTGTGGAGACTGGGTTTGGCACTTCTCAGTGTTTAGGAAAACGGGCTGGCAGCAATGGCGCTGTGGAGAAAGTGTGACTGTCACCACGGTAAGGGTGTGCATCCAAGTTAAGTCCATGGCTCTTGGATACCAAGATGCCAAACACTGACTGTGAAACACATTCAGGAATGTTTAAAACAAATGCAAACTCAGCCACTAAGCAACAGTGGCGGGGTCTTGATACATTGTGCCTTACCCGTCCATGCTTTCCCTTACAAGTAAGGCACTGGCCCAGAATGTTCTACCACCAGCTCTGGCAGCTGTGTCAGGCATGCGACATTGCTGGCTACATTAAAGTTTTGGCATTGATGAACATGTTTTCTTGCTGCTTACCCCAAATTGCAGTGGTCTCCAACCTTATTAAGGGGTCCAGAAAAGGCAGGGTTCCAAAGTTCCAGTGGCCCAATTTAAAAACCTAGCTGTTGATGTCTAATTTAAATGAGTTTTGCATAAAAACCCTGAGCCTGATGAGACAATGAAGTGCCGTTTTGAAAGCTACTTAAATCGTAACCGAACAGCAAATCACGGGAGCACGTGCTGCTCTCCGACCCGATGCTCAAGGGGATTTATTGCACTAACACGTGAGGAGAAACATTTAAATCACTTCCAAATGGCAAGAGAAGGAGAGAAAGTTAATTTCATTAGCTATCTTGATTTAATTAAGTGGACAATATGCCTGTATCAGCAGCTTTTACATGCCCCCACCATTAGAAATGAATTACAAAAGCAATTATCAAAAAAGCTCTGAGCAGGTATACTACCCCTCTCTGCTGTTTACAGTAAAGCGCAGCTGGGAGGCACTTGGTCACCTCTTAGGGAGGAAAGTGGCATCTCTGGTGCCGAGAGGGAAGACTGGAGACCACAGGTCAAAGGGTATGAAAACACCACACTCAATTTCAGGGGTCAAGATACAGCATCTAAAAAACCCACCATACCTTGCGAGTTTCTAGGGTATGAAAAAATACAAAGGCTAAAAACACAAAAAGTTTACAAAGTTTTGCAAACCCAGTACATTGAAATGAGTAAGAAATGAAGCAAAACTACTATTTTACTTGCAAGAGAGACTAAATAGCACAAATGGGTTTTAAAATGAGCCTGTAACAGTAGCACAGGCTACCTGGCTACATGCACTTCTGCCCCTCTAAGACCTCTAGAATGGCACCTGTGGCTTTGTTGCTTTGAGACAGGGTCTCTCTACAGAGCCCAGGCTGGCCCAGAACTCACTGTATAGACCAGGCTGGCCTTGAACTCTCAAGAGATCCGCCTGCTCCTGCTTCGAGTGCTGGGATTAAATGAGTGTGCCATCACACTTAGCCCAGGAGCACCCTGACTGCTGTGTCCAGAATTAAAACACATACATGCTCTCAGTCTATCCCACACATGTGACATTTTGAAGACCTAACATGATGTGTTTCTTCACACGTGAAATCATGGTAAATTGGGAAGTGTTATAAAATTTTAACGAGACGGGACAATAAGCTTTTAAAAAGCCACCGGTTGGTCTCAGTGGTGAAGATTTATCAATAACTGAGCCGTGCAGCCTGTCAACTACACTCATTCATAACTGGCTCGGGTTCACTGAAAATCACCAGTATTTCAGATCTTAAATGGGCCATCATTTTCCAGGCCACCAGTGGGCCACACATGATTCCTTTGGTGGCAAAATCTCCAACCAGCCTTGGGCAGGTAAACAGACTAAAGGACACTCATGGAAAAGACAGACAGGATGGAAAAGGGTTTGGATGAAGGCAGGGCTGTCTGCAGCTGTTCCACTCTTAGCATTGACGCCCTGCTCCTGACTCACAGACACCGTCTCAGTCGGCTGTAGATGCACTGTGGTTTAAGAATGAACAGTTACTTGTTTCTGGACAGTTTGTAGACATGGAATGTCTTATTCTGGAAAACTCTAGTGAAGTGAGCTGCGTAGGAAGGTGGGTTCCTCTTAATCTCCTCACAGAAGCGAGGGTGGTCTGCAGGTCTCAAGTCGGGGTCACTCTCTCCTGGCCCATCCATCTCCTGAAACCAAAATAAACCCCAAAACAACTTGAGTGATGGTGGTAAGGCCTTATCCATCCATCCATCCATCCATCCATCCACCCCCCCATCCATCCATCTATGCATTCATCCACCCATCCATCCATCCATCCACCCACCCACCCACCCACCCACCCACCCACCCATCCATCCATCCACCCCCCCATCCATCCATCTATGCATTCATCCACCCATCCATCCACCCACCCACCCACCCACCCACCCACCCATCCATCCATCCATCCATCCATCCACCCACCCACCCATCCATCCATCCATCCATCCATCCATCCACCCCCCCATCCATCCATCTATGCATTCATCCACCCATCCATCCACCCATCCATCCATCCATCCATCCAACCATCCACCCACCTGCCTATGCATCTACCCATCCATGCTGGCTTTTGTTTACTGCTTTGCTTAATTTTGAAACAGGTTCTCTCTTTGTAGCCCTAGGTAGCCTGGAACTCCAGATACACCTGCCTCTGCCCTCTGAGTGCTGGGATTAAAGACATGTACCACTGCATCCAGCCTATATCCTGGGGCGGGGGGAGCCAGGCTGGCTTACAAGTCTTAATCCTCTTGCTCTAGCTTCATGAAAGCTGGTACTGAAAGCATCCGTCACCATACCCACTGGAAAGAAATAGTCACATTTATAAAGGCAGTAAGAATCAGGGTAGGTGCTGGGCTTTCTGGGTGAAAATGGTCAGTAAAGGGTGTTTGAATGTCAACCCTACTCAGAGACCAGATGGCCCACCTCACTCTCCTCTACCCAAAGAGCGAAGCACGGCTAGAAAGAATTCCGTGTCACGAGATGTGTCACCACTAATGGCGGAGCAGAAGCAGAACTCAGATCTCCCTGTGTCCTGCCTGGTTAGTCTTTCGTCAATGTGACAAGACCAGAGTCATCTGTGACAACAGAACGTTAAGTGAAGGACAGCCTCCATCAGGTTTGCTGCAATCAAGTCTATGGTGTCTTCTGCTGATGGACGTGGGAGGGACCAGTCTACTGTGGGTGTCCTCAGTGCCACCCCTCACCTGGTGGCCCCGGGTTCTACATGAAAGTAGGCTGAGTAAGCCAGGAGGAGCAAGCCGGTAAGCAGTGTACCTCCATAGCCTCCGCTTCAGGTCCTACCCTGACTTCCCTTCATGAAGGACTGTAAGCCGTAAGATGAAATAAATCCATCCCCTTTGTCTTAGTTAGGGTTTTATTGCCGTGAAGAGACACCATGACCATGGCAACTCTTATAAAGGACATATTTAATTGTGGTGGCTCCCTTACAGTTTCAGAGGTTCAGTTCGTTACCATCATGGAGGATAGCATGGCAGCTGTGGTGCTGGCTACATCTTGATCAGGAAGTGGTCTCAGTGTCACACTGAGGGAAGCTTGAGCAACAGAGACCTCAAAGCCCACCCCCACAGTGCCACACTTCCTCCAACAAGACCACACCTCCTAATAGTGCCACTTCCTCTGGGGGCCGGTTTTTTTTTTTTTTTTTTCTTTTTTTCAAGCTACCACAGCCTCTCCAGGTTGCTTTACTCATGGTATTTGTCACAGCACCGAAAAGCTAACTGGGCCACCCTGTTCCTAGAAGCACACTATCCTTTCCCATCCACAAAAGTTAAACACAGAGAACTCTAACAACAGGGGAAAATTCCCCAACTCAGACGCAGAGTGAGGAACAGCTACCCACAGGCTCACACACTCACAGGTGTGTGTTCCGCTCAGCCTCCAAATTCAAGGTAGTTACTGCTTATATTACTTTCACTGGGCAAAATTCTGAATTTCTAATTCTCGCCTTCAGGCTGTTTTCAGATATAGGCTAGTTACCCCACACCATTAGTCACACCGCATCCCAAAAGGACAAAGACCATGTTTACAGTGACCTGGCTCAGCTCCAAGGGAATCTCCCTTTCTCTGAGGGAGACACAGCTTGCTCTTCTGTGGAGGGCAAGTTTAGCTACCCTGAGGCTGTGTGTGGGTGGAGGACAAGAGGGAGCAGGATGTGTGGGCCACAGGGCTTGGGAAAAAGGGGTGACCCACTGCCTGACACTTAAAGATGTGCCAAGGGGATGTTTTGGAGCAGTGTGTTTACTGGCAGATGTGCTGCATAGAGCAGAAAAATACTCTTTACAAATAAAACGTAGGCAGTGCTGAATCAGGCAAAACAGCCAAAGGCGAGAGGTGCCCTTCCTGAGTCAAACTGCAGGCCGGGCCTCCCTGTCCCCTGGCCCAGTGCCTGCTGTCAGTCACTAAGGAGCAGGGCTTCTACCGATGGACGATGGACGTCTGACTCATACGGTCACTAGCACATATGGTCTAAAGCGACCTACATCACGCTGGATTTCCACCCTCCCTGACAGCTCCCAGAGGTGAAGACGCAGCATGCTCACGTGTCCGTTAGCGACATCCAGCAGGTCGCGCAGCCGGCAGCCCCTCTGGTGCCTGCGTTCATAGCAGATGCTGTCTTCTAGGATGACAAAGTCGGTGCCGAAGGACCTCAGGAGCGAGTGCACTTCCTCTGGGGACCTCTTGGCGTATATCTGATAGACCTTCAAAACGGGGTAAAAACGGAAAAGGGCACACAGCCTGGGAGTCAATAGAGGAAGGGAGGGAGCATCCATCCCCAGGGGGCGGGGTGAAGACCTGGCACTCAAATCCCCTTGCTGTCCAGGCCACTCTTGTCCTGTCATCACAGTCTGGCGTAGGAGCATAGGGAATTTCCACATTGATATTGTAATTATTTAACAGGAGGAGGGAACAGGAGTCGCACTGAGCATATCTAGTATGGATGCCAAGAAGAGCTGGACTCAGAGTGAATCATTTTAGGTTTTTAAATATCTTTATCAGGCGATAACTCTAAGAATGAGTAAACATGACCCGGTCAACAACACAAGCAGGCTGGTGGTACTGTTTGGGCACATGTGTGTCTAAGGGGGAGACCTGGCTTCCCACCACAGCAAGCGGGAAAAGGGCTGCTGACCTTGGTTGGAGTACCACAGGCTTCAGTGGGGTCGGATGCTCTCTTCGGACCTCTGTGGGCACTGCACTCAAGGGCACACCCACACCCACACCCCCACGCACACCCCCGCACATACCCACCCACCCACCCACACACCCACACACCCGCACACACCCACACCCCGCACATACCCCCACACACACCCACCCCCCCACCCCCACCCCCACCTCCACACACACCCACCCCCACCCACACACCCACGCACACGCTATTTGCCTCCTGGGAAGGCAGTCGGTAGCTAGGATATAGGGATGGTATGAATATGTTTTGGACCATTCCCTTCTATATGTTCTGAACTTTGAACTACGTGGCTGTATTGCCTATTTAAACAAACAGCAACAACAAGCACACACACGAATGCACGCGTGTGCACACACACACACACACACACACACACACACACACACACGAATGCACACACCAGAAATGGCCCACAGATAACCAGTATGCCTCCACTTCCTTCCTTCCGAAATCACAAGCTCCAGGGGCTTTGGCCTGAACGCTGCCTCCCTCACACCCCAGGGGGTTTATCCCATCTGTCCTTTCCCTACCTAAGAGGGGCATGTGCTGTACCCACCCTACAAGGCAGAGCGGAAGACGCCGGCCCAGGCCCTTACGCTCTGGCTGGAGGTGTGTAGCATACAGCCCCTCATCATGACACAGGGAGGCAGGACTGGGAGGGGAAAGTGAGCACAGGCAAAGTCGGGCCTCACCGCTTGGGTCCGCTCTCTCAGGCTTTTGTCTTCATAGTGTGGGTGGTTGGTTAGGGTCCGGCCCGTGCACAGCTTGACTCCAGCCAGCAACTGCATGCTCCCAGCGAACACTGCCTTTCTTGGTGTGTTAGAGCTAGAAGGGTTCAGAGTGTGGATTAACCCCAACACTAACATTTCCAAGAAGACAACATCTCCCGACTCAGAACCAGCCAGCTCCGAAGGGGAGTATGAAGATTGGGGGCGGGGGTCACATGAATGACTCAAACCTGTTCATGTTGACATTTTTAGGACATGTAGCCCAGGCTTGCCTAGGGCTCAGGAACTTCTCACCTCACCTTTAGCCCACTTCCTATCTGTTTTCTGCTCACTAGAACAAGGGCTGAGGAGCGTCTTACTCTCCACTTTGAAGGGTTGGCTTTTGTGATGGTCGGACTGTGTTTAGGAGGCAGGAGCTAGCTCCTGAGCCCACAGTCTGTAGGATGCTCTTCTACCACTGCCCAGAGAGGTGAAGTCCAACACAAGATCTCACAGGCTGCAGCTGAGAGTAAAGTAAGACATGAGAGGTGTCTGGAGAGATGGCTCAGTGGTTAAGGACACGGACTGCTTTTGCAGGGGACTCAGGTTCAATTCCCAGCACCTGCTCAGTGCTTCACAACTGCCAGCAACTCCCATTCCAGGGGACAGGGTTCCATTTTCAGGCCTCAAGCCATGCATACATATGATGCATATACATGCATCACAATGCATATGTATGTGTGTGTATGTGTATATATGTATGTATATGTATTTGCATATATTTATCTGTGCATACATATATACTTACATATACATACTCATATATACTTGCAGAAACATACACAAAAAGGTAATAAAATAACATAAGCAAGAAGTCAGAGAAACACAATTGATTGTGACTCAGTTCCATGTGGTTGGAAAATCAAAATGAAACACAGAGAATCCAGTATTTACTGCAGATGACATCTGAAGAAAAAAGCCCGCAACCATAAATGCAGAGTTGGGAAGCCGCCTCTAAGCAGTAGATCCCCGTCTCAGAGAGGGTTATTCAACATGGGAATAGCCTTCACCCTTAACCCTGATAAAGAAAACAATTCGCAAAGCCAAAGCTTAAATAGTATGGGGTACCCTAAGGCTACCCCATGAACTTGTTTTCCAGTGTAATGTGGCGTACCCTAAGACTACCCCACAAACTTGTTTTCTGATGACTCTTTGTTTCCTCGAAGGCTGTGAGGAGCCATGACAGGGAACGTAGGAAGACACCACATGGAAGGTCCTTCCCTTCCCTCAGCCCAGGAGGGAAAGGATCTGTTTTCTTCTCATTTTAAATTTTGACAGTGAGTCTTGCTCATAGCCCAGGCTAGCCTTTAAATCACAACTCTCTTGTCTCAGCTTCTTGGGTGATGTGATCATAGATGTGTCTGGCAAAATAAAAGCCTGTAGCTGACTTAACTCAGTCCTTCTGGGGAAAGCTGGGAGCTGCAACCCTCCAGCCTCTGCCCCAAAGGAGGATGTTTTCACGAGGAACATCCCAAGACATCTTTGAGTTAAGAAACAGGAGGGCTGCATTCTGGAGGCAGAGGCAGTCAGGGATCTCTATGAGTTCAAGGCCAGCCTTGTCTACAAAGTGAGTTCTAGAACAGCTAGGGCTGCTACACAGAGAAAGTCTGTCTCAAAAAACTAGGAAGGAAGGAAGGAAGGAAGGAAGGAAAGAAGGAAGGAAGGCAGGAAGGAAGGAAGGCAGGAAGGAAGGAAAGCAGGTAGGCAGGAAGGAAGGAAGGCAGGAAGGAAGGAAAGCAGGTAGGCAGGAAGGAAGGAAGAGGGTTGTTGGCGTAACTGTGCACACACCCTTAACCCCAGCACTCTGAGACAGGCAGAGGCAGGTGGATCTCTGGGAGTTCCAGGCCAGCAAGCAGAGTGCTGCACAGAAAATCCCTGTCTCAAAAACAGAACAGAAGACTAAGAAGAAAAGAGACAGGGGGCTGTTGATCTGTGCTAAGCCATGGAGGTAATCCTGAAGACTATCTGAAACTTAAAAAGAAAGCCAGAGCGGGTGGCTTCAGTCTTCCGGAAGCAAGGCCCGCAACCTGCTCTGCTGCCGCACAGCTCTGAGACGCCTCCTCACATTCCTATCTTTATTTCAATTTAACACTAGGAATACAGCCTGAACGCAGGCCAATAAAGGCCTGTGGCTGTCTGGGGGCAAGACACGCTATGCTTCGAGTGATGACAGTTACAAATAAATTACATTTAGAAAATCCGAGGTTCCTTTCTAACCATGACATTCGTAGACTGTTGCATTCCAATAAGGCCTCTCGGGTGAGGGGCGAAGACGGGATGGAATTACAATGAGGGGCGGGGGAAATGACAGACACCCATCTGCACCCGCCCTCGGCCTCACTGAAGTCTAACCCTTCAGCATGAGCTTGGCTGGCCTGGCGGGGCTGCCAGCATTCTAAGCAGACCCAGGGATGCGGACCAGAGAGATACTTGCTCTGTCCCCCAGATCCGAGATTTACAGGGAAGTTTGACAGTGGTCCCACCCCAGCAGAGGAACGGGAGGCAAGGGAGGGCTTAAATAAAGGCCTGTGGAGGTAGAGAACTTGGGGAATTCAGCTTACTGAAATTAAAGCTCACTTAACTCTTGTCCTGGGCCTTGCCTGTCTTCCAAACTCCATTTAGAGTCTAAATTTTAGTTATACTGTGAATTTTAGACTGTACCAAAGTTGCTAAAGGGAACAGATATAATGAAGGCGGAGCCATTATTTCCCGGCCAGTCTTCACTCCCCCTGGATCCTCTCAATGTGATGAGCCATCCACCCCCCCTGCCGTCAGTCTACACTAACATATGGACTTAGACTACACGGGAAGGGCTGCTTCCTTCCATGTCAGGTAGAGCAGGAGACACAGGTAGCTCCCATTTCATTCAGTCTTGAAGTGCCAACCTGCAACAGGTTAATTACCACCGGACTAACGGGCTAATGAAACACTTCAAATAATTTACAGGATTATGCAGATAGGAGAAATGGTTTTGGGGTGGGGTGCTGGAGTGGTTATGAGCCCTGGCTGCTTTTCCAGAGGACCCTGGTTCAATTCCCAACACCCACATGGGAATGCGCACGTCTGTAGCTACAGTTCTGGAGATCTGACGTCCCTTTCTGGACTCTGCCCACACATGGTGCACATACATAGAATATTGGCAGGCAAACACACACACATTTAATGGATAAGCGGCTCACCAGCACTTAAAGTCTGACCTATACAGCGTCATCTTTAAAACACACACACCTCTTTCTCCTTTGATTAAAAGCAAGGCAATTCAGCGTGTGCTTTTCAGTTGTGTTGAGAACATGCTACACATGGGAAGCTTCTTGATTGCAGAGAGACTACGTCTAGTAACAGTCTCCTGAACGCAAGTCATTAAAGTGCCATCTTTCAAAATAACCCCATCTACAGATCCCTCTTAATTGCACAATAAAATTTCCAGGCAGCAAAAATGTTGCCTTCCAGGATAGACAGGCACAAGGCACGGCCTGGCTGGGCAGCTGTCACTGTCACCCTTGCTGGAGTAAACATGCTTTTCAGTAACACAAAGTCTGTAGTGGCACCGCCTGGCTTTTGCTGAAAGAGACACAAAAAGGCAGAATGGCCCAGGGATCTAATCTCTGTGCCCAGTGTCAGCGAGGAGGACACTCTTGGAAGCTGCTCGGAGGTAAGGCACACTGCACCTGAGCACATGGGCAGGCTCAGAGCAGAGAGACAGAGGCAACCCCAGCTCTCACACGGGCACTGGGAGGTAGCTGGGGCTACACACCCGGGGACCTGATCTCCACAAAAGGTCCTTGCAGGCTAACATGCCTTTATATAAAATGGAGTTGTGGCCCAAGGCTAGGGCTACAGAGCAAGGCCCCGCCTGGGAAAAGGAAGGAGGAGGAGAGGAAAGAAATAAAAGGTCTCATACATCCCAAGATGACCGTCAACTTACTGTGCTGCTCAGAGTGATCTTGAGCACACAGCATTCCTGGCTCCGCCTCCAAGTACTGGGAATATAGGGAAGTGCTGGGATTACAGGCCTGGCACTCCTGGGTTATAAATTTACACGTCTGTTCCATCAGGAAAGTCAAATCCCAGACACCTCCCGCCTGCACTCGTGACGGTCTGGACTGTGAGGCTGAGTGAAGTGAGGACATGGGGACTGCAGGGCGGTGGTGGCGCACACCTTTAGTCCCAGCACTCGGGAGGCGGACGCAGGCGGAGCTCTGTGGGAGCTCTGTGAGTTTGAGGCCAGCCTGGGCTACAGAGCGAGTTCCAGGACAGCCAGGGCCACACAGAGAGACCCTGTCTCAGAAAAACCAATGAATGAATGAACACACAGACGGCAGGGCCGGCAGGTAGACCCATCTGCTTCAATGAAAGGCAGTGTCATGGACAGTCACCCGTGTTCACATGTGTACCCTGGTGTCCCGTGTGCACAGCTGGGACCCACAGAGAAGCTACTGAACTGTACCAATAAGCACGCAGCTTCAGGTGTGAGAGCTTTATAATGTAAAGGCTTCCAATGCGCTCACAGGACTCCAGCCCTTCGGCCCCTTCACGAGTCCTGTGGTGAGGCTCTCTCTCCTAGGAAAACACAGCTGGGCTCCTTTAAGAGGGACAGACACTAACTCCCACCAAGGCGATGCCATCTTCCTCTATGTCCTCATCAGTCAACCCACGGGTGTCTGGAAGGCCAGACACCCACGGCCCTGGAGTTCAGCAGTGAACCCTGGGGCAGGTGTGTGGCTCCCACAGAGCAGAGCCAGAGGGGTGGGGGTGTGGTGACAGATTGATGGCTAAGCCTCCTCTCCACACTCTAATAGAATCTTCGTACACTAGCATGGAAGACCGCTGGCTGGCTAGCCATCTTGAACCCGAGCGTCCCCTCTTGCTCTAGAAGACGCCATCACAGCTGTGCTGACAAAGGACAGTCGGGGTGGTAAGCACGCAGGTGACCACACTGTGTCCAGTCTTCTCTCCTGGCAGCAGACACACAGCCTGTGACCAGTCTCCTCAGGGAAACCAAAGCCAACAGGAGGATAAGAGCAGGTTAAAGGGACATCAAAGCAGCATGTGGTAGCATAGGCTCCCGGGGAGGCTGAGGCAGGAGGCGCAAGCTACAGAGTGAGTTCAAGGCCAGCCTGGGCAACTTTAGGAGACCCCCCCACCTCAAAAGATAAAGCAAAAAGAGGTCTGGGGACGGCACCCAGTCGTAGAATGATGCTTGCCTAGCAGAACGAAGTCCTAGGTTCAACCTGCAGTACTAAGAAAATAAGAATATTAAATGTACTCCCTTGCAGGGAGAATCGAAGCCTGCCGACCACAGCTGATTTGAATGTTGATTTAAACAAACATATTTTGTGTCTAAATAGACCCTACTTTGGCATACATTCATCATCACTTAAGCTTAATTTACAAACATGCCAAGCAGCTATTTTTTTTTTTTTACAAAAAAAAAAAAAAAAAATCATTTCAATTTGAGGAATTTTCAGAGAAAACAGGCAAGATTACATGACAATGGCACTAATATTTTTAGACAATATGAAATTTTCAGTTGTTGAGAATGAGGAAAGGAGAAAGCCAACCAGCTAACAAGTCAAAAGAGTACGCCAGTAAAGACGCTGTTAGCTAACGGGGCTCAAAGATGCCAAGGCCAGCACCCAGCAGGGAAGAGCAGCCTGGTGCTGCCTTCTTTACACCCGGAATACACCTACCTCACCCATACTTCTGCAGAACCAGAAATACTGCCTTAGATATACATTTCTGAGGGGAAAACTCGAAAATAATGATAGTCAGAGAAGCCTGGGTTCCACTGCCATCGTCTGGACATAATTAGCCAAGGAACTCAGGCGGAGATGCTAAGGATAGCCCAGGGAGAGGAGAGCCACCACCTACAAGATGCAGCCCATGGTGCCACTTTCAACAGGGTCGTGCTAGAAATACAGAGGACCCGTGCTGGAGAAGGGGCTCAGTGGCTAAGAGGACAGGAGCTCAATTCCCAGCATCCATGCTGGGTGGCTCACAATGTCCTACAACCTCAGCTCTAGGGGACCCAACACCCTTTTACAGATTCTGAGGCATCCCACACCAGCACACATCCCCAAATGCACATAATAAAGGTAAAATAAATCCTTAAAAAAATACAGAGGCGCTGGTTAGGAGCACTGGCTGCTCTTCCAGAGGAACCAAGTTCAATTCCCAGCACCCATGTGGCAGCCCACAACTGTCTGTAACTCCAGGTCCAGGGGATCTGACCCCCTCACACCAATGCATATGCAATACATTTTTAAAAGATATGCAGACAGGGAGGACCAGCCTTGCTTTCATATGCACAAGTTATAAATATCTAATTGATTAGTTAGCACAAAAGTAACTAGCTTTTCTTTAGATGTGTATTTATATTTACAATAAATACTGAAACAATTGTTTACTTCCATATTACCCATCATGACTTAAGGTTAATAAATAAGGACCAAGTGTCATTTCCCCTGATCCGGAAACTGTCAAAAATTACCCTCCTGTCCAGTCTAACGAGCAGTTTGACACTGAGACCATAGCCACACAGACATTTAGACTAAGTCTCTATAGAAGCCATGCACGGTGCTCAGGGGACCTAAGCAGCAAGCAGTTGCCATCTCTTAACTTGGTGCAGTACTAACTGGTACTGGCCAGTAAGCACTAGTTGTGGCAGGTACCCACGAGGCTGCTGCTAAAATCCTAAGCGATGGACACAGTGGATGAGGCCTTCAGGACTCGCCTGTGTACAGACAGGCGAGTCCTGCTCTTAAAGCAGGACAGCTGGCTCCACAGAGTATAGGCATGTCGCTTAGGTATCAAAGTGTGTCTTTGCTAGTGAGAGTCAGGGTTCCTGAACAGAATTGGTAAACGCGTTAGCTTCATACTGAGACTGGAGGATGAGCTCAAGCAACCAAGTTCAGGCAAAAGAGGAAAAAGAAGAAGAAGAAGAAAAAAGATCCCTCTGTGAGTTCAAGGCCAGCCTGGACTACAGAGTGAGTTCCAGGACAGCTAGGACTACACACAAAAACCCTGTCTGGGCCAGGGACTTGGGGGTGTGTAGTACTTTATTTGTTTAATTAATTAATTAGTTTTTAAAATTTGAAACAGGATCTCTTTATGTAGCCCGGGCTGTTCTGGAACTCTCTATGTAGACCAGGCTGGCCTCAAACTCAAGAGATCTGTCTACCTCTGCCTCCCTAGTGCTGTGATTAAAGGTGTGAGCCACTATGCCTGGCTAAGGAAAATGTTTTAAGTAAGATGAAATAAAATTTTCTCTGAACTAAGAACTTGAGCAGTGTGAAGTTCCGTGAAGCCTGCAGTGACTGGTAATTTAAAACTTTCAAGGAAAGGACACTTTCATGTGTGTGTTAGTGTTCACAGCAAGTCTGAACAGGATTCAGATGAGAACAATAAAGATCAGCAAAGAGTAGACACTAAATTTTAACATGTTAAATAGAATTCTATAAAAGGTGTTGTGTTTGTTTTTAAACATGGGTGTGTACATCATACATCAGTGTGGGGTATGCATGTGAATGAACTGCTTGGGAGAGTAGAGGGGGAGTCAGAGGCCCTGACATGTGTGTGCGTGTGTGTGTGTGTGCATGTGCATGTGTGTGTATGTGCGTGTGTGTGTCTACGTGTGTGTATGAGTGTGTTTATATATGTGTGTGAGTGTGTGTATGTATGTTATGTGTGTGTCTATGTGTGTGTATGTGTTTATGTATGTATGTGTCTGTGTATATATGTGTGTGTCTGTATGTGTGTCTGTGTATGTGTGTCTGTGTATGTATGTATGTGTGTGTGTCTGCATCTGTGTGTGTGTGTGTGTATGTGTGTGTGTATGTGTGTGTGTATGTATGTGTGTGTGTATATGTGTGTGTGTGTGTGTGTGTGTGTGTGTGTACATCTATGTGCAGAGGCCGGGGTGGAGTCAGAGGCCCTGCAGCTAGACTCCCAGGTGGCTGTTAACCACCAGGTATGGGTGCTGGGACTTCTTGGGTCTTTTACAAGAACAGTGCATGCTCTCAAGTGCTAAGCCTCATGGGTAAATAAAATCCCACTGTCCCTTCTGCTGGTGTTGAAGTTTATATTCTGATCCTGTTTTCCACTTCAAATGAGAATTTCCTTTCCTTCAGGGGATGTAACTGCAGAGAATACTTTTGTTGTTTACAGACAGGGTCTCACTATGTGGCCTGGGTTGGCCTTGAACTCATGGCTCTGCCTCTGCCTTAGTGCTGGGGTCGCTAGTAAGAGTGTCTACCAAATTCAGAGTATTAAAGAAAAGTTTGATTTAAAAAAAAAAAAAAAAAGATGACGTTTCTTCACAATTAGAAGATAAACTCTCTCCCCCAAACAACTGAAATATACAGCTGACTCAAGAAAGGCATTCAAAGTTTTAAACTTGAATAGTTCCTCTTACCTAATCCAGTTCATCAGTTCCACTGTATCTGGGTCATAGAATTCTTTTAACTCGGAGAGCTCATCCATCATTCCTGGCCAGGACTGAAATTAAAAATAAAAGGAGCTGTGTAACAGTCAGCAAGAAGAGGTAACACAGGAAGAGAAACTGTATCATGTACTCAGGAGCCAAGCACAACTAAGCCAAACTAACCAAACCTGGTACCTCTGAGAATTCCCCATTCATTCCTGCTAAGCTGAGCAGGGTCAGATGCTCTGTTAGGGTTTACATATGGACTGTCATGTTGCTTAAAGGGGGGGGGGCACTGTTGGGCCTAGAGAGAGAGCTCTGTGACTAAGAGCATTTGTGGCTCTTTCAGGGGGGACCTGCACCCACATGGTAGCTCACAGCCTACTGTAACTCAAGTTCCACATGATCTGCTGCCCTCTCCTGGCCTCTGTGGGTGTTTGTGCACGTGGGGCACAGGCATACACATAGGCACCCCCCACCTTCAAACAACACACACTCTACAGGCTTCCAATACAGAAAACACCCTGTCCTCACCATAACCCACACGACAGGCGCAGCAGGGAGCATCACCAGCAGATTTGTCTCTTGGCATGGACACGGCGGCTCGGGGAGATGGCTTAGAAGTAGCAGAGCTGTGCCCCAGAGCCTGCTTCTAAACTCAGTCCCCTGGCCATCACAGTGCTATGACACCGTTCTACGGCTAGAGTTCTGGGCAAGTGGTTTGATGGATGTTAATAGAAATACTGGCACAATGGGAAACAATAGCTGGAAACCAGACCCTCCAGGAGAATCTAATATACTTGACTTTGTTATTTATGCCAGGGTCAACTCATGTCACTTAAGGTTACACAGGCGTGATGTAAAAAGAACATTTCTATCCATCACTTCTCTAACATAAGGTCTAGTTCATTAATCAATTAAATCTTAATTATCTCCAATAGATGGTGACCAAGCACTTCCCCTATTAATTTTATTTGTTGTTTTGAGACAGTCTTACTATGTAGCTCAGGCTAGCCTCAAACTCCTGACTCACTCTACTAAGTACTTTGGAGATTAAGTATGTTGTCCCTGTTACTTGACAATAAACAAAATACCAACATTTTAGCCAGTACAATGCTATAATTTTGGAATATGTGTGAATTCAATGGGTATTGGATATTTCTTTTTAACTTTAAAGTTGCTGATATGGAAATAATGTTAAAATCTGGTGCATTCTGAGGGAAACCCCATAAATAATATGCAAATAAAACTAAATGTCACCTTTAACAGAATGAAATAGATTAGTTGGGATTTCACCAATCCAATAAGATAATGAAGAACATAGTAAATGTTTTTAATCTCTGGCTTTGCAGAGCCTACCACATGCTTTTCTCTTTGAATGGGATTATCGTAGAGGAAAGAACTCAACGCACATCATAACTGTCAGTGAAACTCAAACCAGGCTTTGAATAAATACACCACTGACAGAAGAATCTTACTAGTTGGCACAGATGGAAAACCGTCCTAGTGTCAGGGAAAAACTCCCAATGTCTATATTGTTCATGTTCTCTCTGAATTCATACTTCACTTTTTTTCCCCCCTCAAGACAAGGTTTCTCCACATAGTCTAACTGTCCTGGAACTCTTCTCTCTGTAGACTAGGCTGGCCTCAAACTCACAGAGACCCACTTGCCTCTGCTGGGATTAAAGGCATGCACCCCAGCTACAATTCTTTTTCAAACGTCAGAGCCTTGCTCACTAGTAGCCCTGGCTGTCCTGGAACTCGATATGTAGACTGGCAACTGAACAGAGTTCCAATGCCTTGGTCTCCCCAATGCTGGGATTGAAGTCATGTGCCACCATGCCCGGCTTTACTTTGCAAGTTTGGGATAAAGTATCTAAAGTACTTTGTACAGAGTGAGGAGAGGCATCAGGCTAGCTATCCAAGGCCCGAGCATCAGTCTTGAGAAATTCATCAGAGTCCCGGTTCTCTCACCCCAGGACCAGGACCACTGCTGGCTGCTGCTGGCAGTGGTGGCTTTCCCAGTCCCACTGGTCCCCTACAGCAGTGGTTCGTGGAGATGAGGGGACTCTGCTCCCACCAGGTGGAGCCTGGTATAGGAATGTACAGGGAAGTGACTGGCTGTTACAGGGGAGGAGCCATCAGCATCAAGGACATAGAAGGTAGGCATTTTGCTACCCCATCCTTGGTGTAGGTCAGCTCCCGGGACATGGTTAGCGGGGACAAAGTCCTAGAAGACAGAGAAGCACAGCATCAGGCCTCCCAAACCTGATGCCATCCGCATCATCACACCGCTGGGCATCTACTTCTGCTTAGGAGGTCCCAAGTGTAACCCACATCTTGCCTTTCCTAGTTCACTGACACTGATGCTTCTGCCTGCCTGGGGACCATGTTTAAGAACCAAAGCTCTAGACCATGCGTTATTTATCCTCTAAACTCTTCCTTAATCTTATCACCACCAAGTCCTTAAACAGCTTAAAAAAATTCATCAAACTTCAGCAAGTAGTGGAGAATTCAACGCACACACACACAAGCATACCCACAAACACATATGCACACATACACATGTAGATACATATACACATGCATACAGGCAGGCGCACACACACAAACATCTATGTACACATGCATGTCCATATGCACACACACGCGCGCGCACACACACATTCACACAGTTCCTAGTCCCATACTGTACTGCTCCCACAGCTACAGTGGTGACAACAGAATAATGCTGAGATTGTGGGGGGTTTAACCCTTACAATTCCATGTAGAGGTGAAGCTGCCAAGTCGCTCATTGAACATTTACCATGTTTCACTCATTTACGTACAAGAATAAATTTCCAGGAGCTGGTGGGCTGTGCCTTTAATGGCAGCTGTTATGATAGGACACAGACTATCAAATGCAGTTCCTAAGCCCGAAGCCTTCAGTTTATAAACCCTCATGTTACAATAGAAGCAGGCCCATCTGGAGGCCGAGCTGCGGGAGGGCTCACTCTTGCCAACCTGCCAAATCAGGGCCTCTCCATAGCAACCTCCAGTCCACTGCTATAACTTAAAACAGCACTGGAAAACATCAAAAACATTTGCTGTGTTTGAGTTTGGTTTTGGTTTAAGAAACGGTGAGAGAGCAGGATGGTGGCACACACCTTTAATCTCAGCACTCAGGAGGCAGAGGCAGGTGGATCTCTAGGAGTTCGAGACCAGCCTGGTGTACAAAGCGAATTCCAGAACAGCCAGGGCTACACAGAAAAATCCTGTCTCAAAAACCCACCCACCCCCCCCAAAAAAAAAGAAAGGGCAAGAGGTTCGATTGGATTAAGTTTTCTCTATTTTCTCAGGTGATAATTCAAGGTCTGTAAACCTCAAAAACCATCAAATGAATCACTAAGTGGCCAAATGACCGATGACAGGTGTCCCTGAGCGGTGTCTTAGAACACTTTCAAATCAGTTAAAGGAAAAGATGACAGTTTTCTCTGTGTCATTAAAGTGTCTTTGGGTTGGGGAGAAGGGTCAATCTTTCTTTCTTTCTGTTGTCTTGTTTTTGTCTGGGTCTCATTATGAAGCCCAGGCTGGCTTTGAATGCTGGATCCTCCCACTCCAGACACCCAGTGTTAAGATCACCATTGGGTACCACCACACCGGCCCCAAAGACTAACCTTACAGTTTATCCCATGTGTCCAGTTCCTGAGAAAACATCTAACGAAATGTGCAGGTTAAAGTTGGTCCTACCTTAAAACCTCTCACTCTACAGAAACCAATTTTTTTATGCCTTATTTGTCTCAAAACATTTTCAGGATCTGCTTTTCAGTAAGCGTCGAAACTAATGGAATGGCTTTTTCTAAGTGTGTCTTTCCTTTTCTGAATGACTTTTATACTATAACGCTTAACCTCTAAAAACTACAAGTTTAAAGACCGCCTTTCTCATCAGCGCCAACACAAGACTCAAAGGAAGTCTCTGGGGATGCCACAAGCCCCTCTGCTGCCCAGCAAAGAAAGTGTGAGACCAGCCTTACCTTACAGCACAGGTACAGCAGCGTGAGCATGGGCACCAAATACCGCATAACCCAGATCTGTGGGACAAAGACTCTGTTAGATCACACCTCTCTGGATCTCTGTGGCTACCAAGTCTGGCTTTGTTGGAGCAGGCCTTTCAAAGGCAGAAACAAAACCAAGCAAACTGGACCAAGCATCATGTCTGTCAAACAATGGTGCCGACTGTGCCAGCTGCAGCTTCTACCACCCTGCACCTAATGCAGAGGGCAGGCCGTTCATGGCTATGGCTGGTCAGCTCTACCACATAGATGCCAGGAAGTTATCAATCTTTAGGAAAATGCCTTATAATAACAACTGTGGTTCTGGACAATGGAACTATTGGAAAATTTTAATTTGGTTTTTTGTGCTTTTTACTGCATTCCTAAATTCTGTGGAGAGTGAACATATCTGACACTCAGTGAACCTATCTGACACTCAATGAACATATCTGACACAAATGACTTAAAAATATAATGGACAGGGCCAGGCAGTGGTGGTGCACACCTTTAATCCCAGCACTTGGAAGACAGAGGAAAGTGGATCTCTATGAGTTCCAGGCCAGCCTGGTCTACAAAGTGAGTTCGAGGACAGCCAGAGCTGCTACACAGAGAAACCCTATCCTGAAAAACAACAACAAAAAATTTGATGATCAGACTTCAATCATGCAGATAGCCTTAATTAAACTAAGTATGTCATAAGACAAAACCCCACAGTCATAAATCTACTGAGGGGACGGGTAGGTAACAGTCTGCTGGCTAGGTTTTGGTCACTAGGAAGAGAGAGCCTAAATTGAGCGGCTGTCTCCATCAGACAGGCCCATGCTCAAGTGGGTGGGGCCTGCTCTTGACTAGTGATGGATGTGGGAGGGTCCAGCACACTGTGGGCCATGCTGAAGTGGGCAAGCTGAGCCAGCCTTGGGGGACAAGCCAGGAAGTGGCACTCCTCCATGGAGCCTAGAGTTGCTGCTCTGACTTCTCTCGGTGATGGGCCGTGACCTGGGACACATTTGCTTCATAGAGCTTTTCCTTCCCAAGTTGCCTGTGGTCATGGTGTTCTATGACAGCAATGGAAAGCAAACTAGAACAGAGGAGGACTCACAGGCGTGTGAGGGAGTTAGGAGGGAATGTTGGGATAGGTGCTAGAATACAATATACACATGTATGGCATTGTCAAAAAATAATGAAAGATAAAATGGCAAACATATCTTAAAAAAATCAATCCCCATAAAAGATCAAGTGAGTGAATTCAAGATACAGATTTTGAGCCTAGTGGTGATGGCACATGCCTTAATTCCAGCACTTAGGGGGCAGAGGTAAATGGATCTCTGTGAGTTTGAGGCCAGCTTGGTCTACAGAGTGAGTTCTAGAACACCTAGGGCTATATAGAGAAACCCTTTCACAAAACAATCCAGAGTTTGTATCCACTCTGTTTGACGCCTGGAACCCACTGGAACACTCATCTGGAAGAAACTCTACAGCTCACTCCAACTGGATGAACAGAGGATGGCACTAACCCTTTTGGGGTTACAGAGATGAACCAGCCTCAGAAGCAATTCCCAGATCTCAGAGCTGCACAGGCCAAAAGACGCGAACACACACATATGGGAGGTCCACAGGTACTTCATCCTGAAAGAGCAGAGAGAGGGCCGTCAGCAGTGCCTGCTGGTGTGAGTGTCTGGTGAGTGCTCCAGCAAGCAAGGAGCTAGGGAGGGAAGCTCCCACACCTAAGACCGCCCTGTCAATCTGCACAGAAGCCACCAGCCAGAGGGCTACTTATCCACTCCGCCACTTTCTAGGAAGAGTCGTGTAAGTGAGCCATTGAAGAGTGTTTGCAGCTAAGAGAAACACTGGCAGTACATTTCACCGAAGGGACAGGAGGCACGAGGGCAGATGGACGGGGCCATACCCAGCGAAGGTGGCGGCAGGTTCCGAATCACGCTGCCAGGCAACATCAACTGAAAAGCCGTCAAGTTAAATCAAAGAAAGGAGCTGAGATGCAGATACCTCATCGTACTCAGCGCCAAGACCCCAAACAGAAGGGTGTGGATCAAGTTGTAAGCAGCTTCTGGTTTCAAGTCAACGGCACACTTTCTTGTCTGACCCACGGACTGCGGACTCGAGGAATCGCTGGAGAAAACAGCAAACGAGCAAAATGAAGCTGGGTGTGTAACTTTAGTCCCCTATGAGGGGACAAATCAGCCTCTGTCAATGTGGAATTTGAGACTTCATGTTGTAATATAACACACCAGCCTTTAAGCAACTATAATTTCACAGAAGCTTTTAAATGAAAATGTAAACAGATTCACTCCTTTCAAGGATTACAGGAACAAATTCTCTGGAGATGCCCCATATTGGGAAGCTCAAATTTGAGGCCAGCCTGGTCTATAGAGTGAGTTCGGGGGCAGCCAGGGCTTCACAGAGAAACCCTGTCTCAAAAAACCACCACCAACAACAAAACCTTGAATTTGGTTAGTGGATCAAAGGCCATTTCACCTACCAAAGCCTCATTATTTATAACCAATAGATAAATGTTATGATTAAAGGGTGCTCCAGGCACGCAACTGGGTCGTGTGAACGGTGTAACACGCCCAGTAGAATGAACACTAACTCTTAATACCATTTAGCTGTGTTCTTACTTACGTATTTCTTTTCTTATTTACTTTTGGACAGGGTCTTGTTATGGCTGGATCTGAATTCTTTAGTTCTCCTGCTTCAGTACCGCGAGTGTTGGGATTAGAGGTGTGTACCCCAGGTCCAGCTGCAGGAATTGTTTTATTTATTTATTGTCATTGTTCCTTTTTGTTTACTTGTTTTGATTTTATATGTATGGGTGTTTTGTCTGTATGCATGTGTGTGTACCATGTGTGTACCTGATGCCCTTGCAGCCCAGGAGAGGGCAATGGATCCTCTGGGATTTGCTGTGAGTCACCGAGTGAATGCTGGGAATTGAACTCGTGCTTTTAACTTCTGATCAATCTCTTTGGCTCCAGTTTAAAAAAACAAAAACAAAAAAAAAAAAAAAAAACCTGAGGGCTGGAGAGATGGCTCAGTGATTAAGAGCACTGACTGCTCTGCCAGAGGACCTGGGTTTGGTTCCAAGCACCTACAGGGCAGCTAACAGTGGTCTATAATTCCAGTTCCAGAGGACCCAACACCCTCTTCTGGCCTCTGAGTGTATTGCAAACATGTTATACAGGCAAAACACGCATACATTGAATAATAAAAGTAAATAAGCCTTAAAAAAAAATCATCCTTTGACCACTAAGTCAACACACATTAAGAAGCTACTGTTGTTTGATTAACATAGTGCTTTTCCTTGAAAACCTGCTAATAAACCTTCTATCAGGTAGACAACGGCCCTCTAATGCCGCAGTTCTCAACCTGTGGACCACGACCCCTTTGGGGTCAAATGACATTTTCACAGGGGTTGCATAACAGATACCCTATATATGAGAAATTTACATTATGATTCATTCACAGTAGCAAAATCACAGACGTGAAGAAGCAACAAAAATAATCTTATGGTTGGGGGTCAGCACACATGAGGAGCTGTATGAAAGGGTGAGAACCACGGCTCTAATGCCTTTGTCTACAATCACACAGCAAACCAGCCTCCAGGGGACCCCCCAGATGCACAGCGACCTCAGCGACTCTGCAGGTCCACTGGACCCTTTGCTCTGGGTACAGTCTAGGGTCCTGTCCACAGCTGTGTATCCGCAGTAACATTAATTGTGCCATCTAGAAAAACTGTCCTGTTTCCAGAACGCTAAGGTTTACCTCCAGCCAGTTTACAATAGATGAAGTATTTCCGTAGTTTCCTTTTAAAGAAGATTTCTACGGGGCTGGAGAGATGGCTCAGAGGCAAAAAAGGATTGGCTGCTCTTCCTGAGGACCTGAGTCCAATTTTCAGCACTCACATGGTATCTCACGGGACTCTTCTGGTGTGCAGGCATACATGCAGATAGAGAACTATATACATCAAATGAATACATTTTTTTTAAAGATTTCTATTTATGTGTCTGTGTGTGAGTGCTTGCAGACGTTGAAAGGGGACAGCAGGTTCCCTGTAACCGGAATCACAGGAGGTTGTGAGCTGCCCAACTTGGGTGCTAGGAACTAGACTCGGGTCCTCTGGAAGAGCAGCAAGCATTCTTCTCCACGAGCATTTCCCAGGCCCTGCTTTTTCTTAATCACAGTCCACAGCATGTTGAGTGGCTATGCAACTACACAGCAAAGGGGCTTCCCTGAGAACTCCAGCCAGCTCTCCCAAATGACCGTCACCCCAACATTTTAATTTTCTTCCAATGAAACATGGAGTGTAAATGCAAAGCCCATCAGCCCGAAGGGAAGTAAGTCTATGAGTCTGCAAAAAAAAAAAAAAAAAACCCTTCACACTCCCAATGCTCCTGTAGCTGGGAGACACGCTGAGTTTTAAATACAGGCATGAGAACACACTTAGTGTGTGACTTTTCACAGTTACACAGCAGCCTCACTGAAGATCTTGTTCTACCGGGAAGGAGACACAAATACTCACAGGCCACCCAACTCGCCAGAGATGGGCGCTCCTAAGCACGCAGGCCGGACAGGACTGTAGCCCTGCTCTGCATCCACCCTAACCAGCGGCTGGCTCCTTTTTAAGATGAACAGTGCTCTGTTCTGTTTGCTGTTTGTGTTTTCTCCCTCCCCCGGCTCCCGTCCGGAACAAACTCATTGCAGCAGGAGTGTTAAAAGGTCCTACCTGAGATTATGAAAGGCAACAACCGATGCTGTGGTCAGTGTGACAAACAGGACAAACATGTATGCATAGAAGAGCAGCGTCTCGGACAGCCTCTGGAACGTGTTGAGGGGCAGGAGCCCGAAGGCTTCTTCACACAGATAGAGATTGGCATCGAAATCCCTGGGGAAGAAAGGCAGGGCAGGATGTCACACCCGGGATGAGGCAAGGAAAGCAGCCGTAGGAAGGGCAGAAGGCTTAGGGCTTCAGCACGAAATGGCGTGCAGTCTCACACCAGACATACCTTGTTGCTCCAAACCCAAATTTGGCCTTCAGAAATTTAAAGATGTGTTCGTCCGACTTCAGGTTAAGAATCCTCTATTAGGAAGAGAGAAAAGGAAATGAGCTATTAGTGTCTCCCTGACGGCCTGTGATGAACGCGTTGCAGTGGGAGCATGCGAGGCGGCCAGTGGCCACATCCCAAACTCTCGCCTCATCTCCTCTCGCCGTTACCTTTATTCAGACATCTGCACACTCAACAGTTAAAATGGATAAAAGAAAGGCGACCTTTTGGTTTTATATCCGAAAAATCAACAAAATGGTCTGAAATCTCAAGCAGGTACACAGGCTTTCGGGTTTCAGTTCTGAAGACAAAAAAACGACACAGGACTCAGTCATTCTCAGGCAACCCGAGAGAAGTGAACCAGGCAGAGACGCCCTCAGCTCCAGGGTCCATCACTAGTGGTGGTGATTTTAATTTATTCTTTATCTATGGATCATAAGAACCCACACGGTACAAACAGTGGGGGATGGAGACGTGCCTCAAGTGGTCAGGAGCCTGTACTGCTCTGGCAGAGGACCTGAGCAGGGTTCCTGCACCCCAGCAGAGCAACTCAGAACTGTGATAACCCAACTCCAGGGCATCCGATGCCCTCTTGTGGCCTTCATGGGCATCGCACTCATATGCACAGCCCTCCATGCCCCACATACACATCATCAATAAAACAACAAAAATAAAAGCTTAAAGACAAAAATGCAGAAGATGGTACCAGATAAAGAAAGGCAGGGGAAAAATAAGAGAAAGTCGGAACTGAGAGTAGAAAACAAAATATACTCATGAACAATCTGAGTGGCAGACAGAACTGCTTGGAGCAAGGGAAACACTTCCTGTGGGTCCGTATGTGCAAGGAGTGCCAGACTGTGTTTTCTAACTGGCTGTTGTGGGTCTCTGCTGAAACATTCAGTGAGGCTCCATCAATAGACTCTTATCGTTTGGAGTGTCAAAACCAGAAGTGTAGGCTCAGAGGTCTCTATGGTTAAATCAAAGAGCAGCTTGCTGAGCCTGCCAAGTGGGAAGTGGAGGAGCTTTGCACACATAAGCTGCGAGGGAGCACAGTAATCCTTGCTATTATCACAGAAATTGGTTCCGGGAATCCTTCAGACAGTCCAGTGTTCAATACAGTGCTTGCATGCAAACATTCTCCTGTACTCTCTCTCTCTCTTTTGCAGGGGTGAGGTAGTTTAAGGTATTGGTCTTCCGGCCTTGCACATGCTAAGCACGCAGTCTACTGCTGTCTTGGATGCGTGGCCCTCTGTCTCCCTGCAGAGCACAGGCTGGCCTTGAACTCAAGAACCTCCTGCCTCGGTCTCCTTGGGGCTGGGATTATGGAAATGCACCACTATCACAACTGTCTTTCTGCAGACCTGAAACCAACTCTAGGTTATTTACAAAATCAAGTATAAAAATAAATGCTTAAGTGGATTAAGTGGATTATTTGGGAAATGTAAGAGAAAAATCTATACATGTTCTAGGCGTCTTTTCTGATTGTGTGTGTGTGTGTGTGTGTGTGTGTGTGTGTGTGTGTGTATGTGCATGTGCACATGTTGTATGTGTAAAGGCTGGATGTTCATGTGAGGAGTCTTCTTCCACCTTAGTATTTGAGACAAGGCCTCCTCTCGATGAACCTGGAACTCACTGATTCTGGTAAGCTGGCTGCCCAGTGAGTTCCAGGGCTATACCAGCCTGCCTCCCGGGCCCCGGGACTACAGACTTTCACATGGGAATGAGGATCTGAACTGAGGTCTTTGTGCTGGGGGGGGGGGGGTAGAGGCAAGTGCCTTACCAACTGAGCTATCTCTGTAGCCCCATTTCTGAGTAATTTGGGGTCCTCCAATTAGGAAACTGTGGGTATGATATGGCGTTTAAGAACACAGTGGCAGATGAGAGGCAGAGGCAGGTGGTTCTCTGTGAGTTCAAGACCAGCCTGGTCTACAAAACAAAACAAAGCAAAGCAGAACAACAACAACAAAAAAGTGTCTTCTTCATTGTGGTTCCCTTTTGATAGTCAACATGGAGGGGAAGGAAGATGTTCACAGATGTCTCTTATTTAGACCAGCCTTCAAGAAGAGAGGGCGGGGGGTGCACAGACATGGACGAAATCACTGCAGCTTTGCTCCAGCTTAAAAACAAGTGGAGACTGGGAAGGCAGCTCAGCGTTAGGAGCTCTGTCTGCCCTTCCAGAGGACCCAAGTTTGATTCCCAGCACACACATTGATGGGAGATCTCACTCTGCATATATGTTTCTCTTATTGGTTAATGAATAAAGTGCTGTTGGCAAATAAGGAGGATTCTGAGAGATGTAGTAGAGTCAAGATGTAGACTTGAGAGAGAAGAGGTCCGGATCCTCTCTCCAGTAAGATGAGACCATGAGGAAATACTTATATAAATAGAAATGGGTTAATATTTAAGACAGAGCTAGCCAATAAGAAACGCTAGTAACAGGCCAACAGCTTTATATCTAATACAGTGTGTCTGGGGCTGATGCGGCTCTGGGACCAAGCTGGCAGGAAAACTGTTCGTAACACACACATGGTTGCTCAGTCATCTCTAACTCTAGTTCAGAGGACCTGTTACCTCTCCTGGAACATCAGACATATGTGTGGTACACAGACACACATGCAGGCAAAACATCCATATATATATATATATATATATATATATATATATATATATATAAATAAAATATAAACCAAAACCTAATGGGGCACTGAGGTCCAACAGAACAGAAGCCACCAGACAAGCAGTAAACGAAGCCATGCCACAGAGCACCGAAACAAAAATCTTAGTAAGCCGGGCATGACAGTGCTCATCTTTCATGGCAGCGCCTGGCAGGAAGAGTCAGGCAGAGCTCTGTGAATTGTAGGCCAGCCTATTCTACCCAGTGACCAGGTTCCTTAAATTTATTTTGGTGGTGAGACTAGAACTCACGGCTCTGTATGCACGGAGTTCACATACGCTCACAATGACATCCCAGCCTGGGGTTCATTTTAACTTAGTAAAAATGAACTCACATCTTTTGAACAAAAAAATTCCCGGTAAACCCACCTTGTGGGGCCTGGCAGTGCACACTTGTAGTCCCAGCACAAGGGTGGCTTAGGCAGTGGGACTCGAGCTCAAGGCCAGCTGGGTTATATCCTACAGGGGAATCTTGCCTTGCCAGTGTATGTGTGTTAGTGGCCACACCCTTTTGGGCGTGGTCTCAGGTGCAGGCAAATCGGAAGAGAGGGGCGGTCTCTGTGGTCACAGACTGAGTCAGAAGGGCATCTTCTGGAGCAGGAAGACCTAGAGGGTCTTTATTATTATCATCTACGTAAGTTGTTCCCCAATAAAACACCCATTTGTCAATTACCTTGGGTCTAGTGAACTCATTACAACCCCCACCTTCAACAAAATGGTCTGAAATCTCAAAAGCCTCTCAAACAAAACAAATAGAAAACGATCATTCAAAAAAATACCACGGTGCTCACAGGGAATAGTCTTTAAAGTTGAGCTTTAAATCTGATGAGTTCAAGGACAGACACACTGTGCTGGCTAGTTTTAGGAGAGGAGGGAACCTCAATTGAGAAAATGCTTCCAGAAGACCAGGCTATAGGGAGTGAACCTGTGTGGGACCATCCTTGGGCTGCCGGCCCTGGGTTGAAGAGCAAGCCAGTAAGCAGCACCCTCCATGGCCTCTGCTCCAGTTTCTGCCTCCAGGTTCCTGCCCTGTCTGAGTTCCTGCCTTGGTTTCCCTCAGCGGATTGTGACTGGTGATAGGTAAGCAAAATAAACCCTTTCCTCCTCAGTCTGCCTTTGGCCATGGAGTTTCATGACAACGGCAACCCTAACTAAGACAGATACCATAGTGATTTCAATGAGATGTCCCACATAGTCTCAGGCATTTAGTCGGTGGCACTGTTTAAGGAGGAAGTGTGCGGTCACTACAGTGGCCTTTGAGGGTTTAAGGCCTCACCCCACTCCCAGTTTGATCTCTGTTTCCTGCTTACAGTTCAAAATTCCAGCCCACAGCTTGCTTGGCCTGCCATCCTGGACTCTAAGCCTCTGGGACCATAAGCCCAAATAAACTCTTCTCTGAGTTGCTTTGTCACAGCAACAGGAAAGTGACTGATAAAATGTGTCTGTTGTGAAAGGGCAGAAAATTAAAATTAAAACCAACAAAACCAAGTGTGGCCCTTGCTAGGTCAATCACAACTCAGTGATTCACTATGTTTTAACTATTCCTAATAAAAAGTTCAAAGACATAAAATACCATAAACATATCTCCAATACCACAAATACATTTCAAAATGGACTGAACCTCACTTATTAACTTACCTTAATAATGTTGTTGAGAAGAAGTGTCAAACAGAAAACTAGGAGTAAATGCAACATGAGTTTCCCAATCCTAGTCAGGAAGGTCCCAGTTTTTAGGTTTTTCTAGAAATTGAGAGAATTATGTTTTAATTTTTAATTAGTATTTAAATAAATTTTAATGACAGCCATAACTTTCATAATCACTTGAGATTATTTGAAGATTTAAGATGTTGGCTCATGAAACACACACGGAGAAGCATGTGGAAAACAAGACCAACTTCAGGGGCTCTCTTTTCCTTTATTTTAGTAATTTTACATGTGACATGAAAGGGGGTACAGTAGTAAAGTCTAAGCAGGGATGAGGGGAGGAAAGGTCTGGGGAGCTGTTGAAACAACACCAGGATGCACACAAAAGGCCTTGTGGGAACCTACTAGCTTGCAAAGTGACTCAAAAATGCAATTCTGTAAAGAAGGAATGTGAGCAGAGGTCACCTGCATGGGTGAACAAGGCTGCCCCTAGAAGGCACAGGTTATTAAATGAAAGGCCTGGTGTGAACACATGGGAGGGCTCCCTATGAGTTATTGGATGGGAAGGCCCCGGAAGGCCCTAAGACAAAACAAAACTAAGCTCCTACTGATGAAGATACCACAGAGAGACAGACAGAGAGACAGAGAGAGATAGAGAGAGACAGAGAGAAACAGAGAAAGAAAGAGTCAGAGACAGAGAAACTTTATCTGCCTCTGTCTCTTTCTCTCTCTGTCTCTCTCTGTAGAGAAAGAGACAGAGGCAGATAAACACAGAGAGACAGACAGAGAAAGAGGCAGAGAAATAGAGAGAGAGAAACAGAGAGAGAGAGAGAGAGAGAGGGGACTGGAACTGATTGGAAAAATTCCCTCAGCAGATTAGCTCTCATGGTGAAGGAAGGTTGCTAAGCAGGATGCTGGGTAGGGTAGTGGTTGGGGGTAGGGAAGACATCAATGGTCTTACCTAGCACTGACCCTGCATGCTAAAATACTGGCCTGCCAGGCAAGGTGTGCCCACTGGTATGATGGTGGCATGACCGTTACAGGAGTAACCAACTGCTTTCTGATTGGATGAGGTTGATGCACCAGGAGGGAATTCATGCCTGGTTCTGTAAACTTAATCAAAAGCACATGGCTGGGGAGGTCATCAGCCCTGGAAAAAACTATGCTTGTTGTTTTGTTGAACAGCCATGCTGTCAAACTGTCTTCTAAGTATTTGCTTCTATCTACAGATCTGTCATTCTCTCAACCTTGGTTAGGGAGGCCTCTTTCTGCATCGGGCAGTGGTTAATGCAGAGACTCATAACTGATCAAGTATAGAGGATTACCGACTATGCGTGTTTAAATGTGACACGTTTACCACACCCCACCTCGAGGCTCAGGGAACAGCAGGACGGGGATAGAGAGAGAAAGTTCTGACATGTTATCTGCAGGACATGGCTTGGGGATTGCACTCATGAACCCTCGGCAGGTGCGCCTACCTTCAAAAGACATGTACAGATCAAGTCAGATTCCAGCACGGATGGCGAAGAGCTAATGCAGCCCAACCCTTAACTGAGGAACGGCTGGCAGCTGATGGCTGCTGAGAGACGGAGTCATTTTCCTGAGGTTCTGTCTCCCAGCAGGTTGCTCAGGCTGCAGTGGATGGTCAGAACTAACTACGTGCCGTGGGTAATTTAATTTTATAAAGGAGGGAGGAGACAAGAAGTTGGGACGGGGGCGTGTTGGGGGGTCTGGGGAGAGGACTGGAGGTTGAGGAGTGGGAGTCAACAGGATGGAAATATACGGTACACACGTATAAAACTCTCAAAGAATTGAAAATATAAATGAACTTTACATGGTTTTGTAATACCTCACAGGGATCCCTGGGCCTTTGTAAGCATTTATTTAGATTCTCTGAGTTTTGACAACAGACCATTTTAATTCAGTTCAATGTCACTAACTGGCTGTGTGAGGATAGGGAAGGATGGTGTTGGCGCCATCAAGCAGCAAGGGGTCCAGACCTGGAAGACTATAGTGGACACACTGGCACTACTGAACATACTTACAAATTTCATCTTGCATTGCAGCTTTATGTCTAGTGTCATTCAAGTAAAGAACCTGGGCTAATGCAGGAATTAGGGTTTCATTTGCACAGAGACAATCACTGCCAAAAGCAAAGAATGACACAGGGAACCGAGGAAGTTTGAAACAAATGTTTCGGCATGCATTTCATAGGGAAAAGCAAGCGTAACCTTGATGGTGCGCTTTACCGGGAACTGGGTTGTTTTCATCCGATTTCAGGATGACAGTAAGATTTTATGGGGTGGGAGAGATGGCTCAGCAGTTAAGACTGTATACTGCTTTTGCACAGGACTAGCACTGGTTGCCAGCACTCAGTTTAGGCAGCTCACAACAGCCTGTAACTCCAGGTCCAGGGGCTCTGGCGCCCTCTTCTGTCCTCTATAGGAATTGCACTCATGTGCACATCCATGAAACACACACACAGAACTAAGAATTAAAAAATTTAAAAGTAAATACCGTTTATAAAAATTAAAAAGTCCTACCTGCAGTTTTCTCACAATTAGTACTGAAAGGTTAAAACTGATGAGCAACGATCCCAGAATCATGGCGTTAAAGAACTGAAGTGTACAGACGAGGAGCAAGCAGCTTATCTGTATGCCGTACAGCCAGGTGGCCTGCAACAAAGACGACACGATGGAGATTGCACCAGGAGGCCAAGGCATGTTGACACAGTGGCCACATTTCAGTCACCAGCAATGCAGAACACATACCTAGCTCCAAGAAACACCGTCTATGAAAGGACACAACATTGCCTAAGTTCCATTTGTTTTTCACTTTGACTAACTAAAGATTACTCTTTAATTGTATGTGTGCGCGTGCGTGCGTGCGTGCGTGCGTGTGTGTGTGTGTGTGTGTGTGTGTGTCTCCATGTGAGCGGGAGCATGTGTGCATGCATGCAGTGCCCACAAAGGCCAGAAGAGGGTGCCAGATCCCCCGGAGCTGGAGTTATGTGGATGTGAGCCACTTGATGTGGGTACAGGGTGAGCTTATCACCAAGCCATCTCTACAGCACAATAACAATAACAGAATGTTTTAGTTTGCATGACATTAATGAAAAGGGAAACAAACAAAGGGGTATTTGGGGGAAATGACAAAATGCGATTTATAATTTTCAGTTTTCTTCATTTTATAATTACTATCTATAATCAGCAGTTAGTCAGATTTCATCTCCTCCCATTACTTTCCAGACCAGCCACATCAGGACCCTGCCATACATGACTTCATTTAGTTTATATTCATCCCCAGTTAAGTCGGAAAACCCTCATGACAGCTCACAACTGTCTGTAATTCCAGCTCCAGGGGATCTGACACCCTCTTCTGGCCTCTGTGAGTACTGCAACCACGTGGAATAGATACATACATACATACATACATACACACTAACAAATACTCATAGGAAAAATAAGTAAATTTTTTTCACATGGACCTATGAAAAATAGCAGTTTTGTTCATCAGACTTGACTTCCCTAATAGTTCACGCTTTTAACCTTAAAGGAAACCAATCTGCTTCAAGCACAGAGAGGTGAGGCCTGTGGGCTCTGCCTCTGACTGGTGTCACCAGGAGTACAAGATGGAGGATGCTAGTTTTTAGGATTAAAATGTACCTTACTGTACACAGAAAAAAAATGAAATGGAATAGTAATTGACAGGAAGGTAGGGCCAAAGGTCAAAACTCAACACCATTACCAATAGGCAATGCATTTCAGACTGGCACCTCCCATTTCATACAAACTACATACACCATGCTATGTGTAAATTTCTCATACCAATGACTAATCTGTGAAAATTTAAACTTCAAAGCACTACAAAACTATGAAGATCTGATTCTGAAATATACCCTTATAGGTTTATGTTTTCAAGGTTTGTTCTCCAGCTTGTGGTGCCTTAAAATGGGGGTGGGGGGGTGGGAGGGGATTGCCTATATGTACACAGTGAATATGATCATATCTAGCCCATTTCTATCTTTTGTCCCCCAATATGCTCCCTCCTGAATTCAGATCTAAGTGCAGTTAGTGCTGTCCGTGTGTGTGTGTGTGTGTGTGTGTGTGTGTGTGTGTGTGTGAGAGAGAGAGAGAGAGAGAGAGAGACATCCATCACCGTGTGTAAGACCCACCAGGGCTACATCCTCAGTAAAGAATGGTTCTCCCACCCTCAGCAATTATCCACTAGCAGCAGCTACTGGGGTGGAGGGTGATACCAGGATTTTGGCTGGTTTGATCTTGGGTAGGTTTCATGTAGGTAACCACAGCTGACAGAGGCCAAAGAGCTGAGTCTTCCGGAGAAGGGGCCCAGCATTGGAAGGTGGTCACTGGCACCAGGCCTTCGCAGCTATGCACAGCTCTGGTTCTGATCCTCACTTCTGTCTCCTGCCTGCTGACTCTAACTAATGCTGCCTTGTGCTCTGGACACCACAGACAGACCCAACCCATCCCATCTCCATGTCTTCAGAAAGATAGACTGATATTTCTCTGCAGCTATGGAACAAAAATAAACCTTTTATCCTTAACTTGTTTTGTCCCAGCAGTGAGACAAGTCACTAAGATCACAATGTTTCACAACAGGCATGATGACACAGCCTGTGGGTATATATGCTTTTAATTTTTTTTTAAATTAACGTGCATGAGCTTGATCTTATGCACCTCAGCTCCTCCCTCCCACCCACGTCAGGCACTCTGAATGTATCCCCCTTCCTTTTTCACGTGCTCTCCACTGAGTGCAATGCTGCCTGCTGGGATTACCTATCCACTTAGTGCAGGGGGCCACAGCTGTGGTGAGTTCATGCTGCCATAACCATGCCATGTCCCAGAGACAGCAGTTCACAGCCCTTACATTTCTTTCTGCCCCCTTCTTGGGAGAAGGGGGTTGAGATGGATGCCCCATTTAGAGCTGAGCACTGAGTCCCAGGTGTTTTTCGGACTGTGAAGTCTCTTAGTGGTCTGATCTTGGCAGTGGAAGGCAAAGCCGGCCTCCTCTGATACCATGCTGGCAGGGAGGGAAAGGGTACCATCATCACAGCTAAGTGTTGGCTGAAGTCAGACCGCCCCCCCATGTGGCCTGTGGGAGCCGGTGAAGACGGCAGACACCCTTCGGGAGGCCCAGGGGAGGGGAGCCATCCAGGTGCTCCCGAGATCAGCTGCTGGCAGAGTTGGGAGAGGAGCTGCCTGTTTTGGAAGGTGCCGGCCGCCATGAGCTGTTAGTTTTCTGTCTTGCTAAGTTTTCTCCTTTCTGGTCCTCTGCTACAGAAAGGGTTTTTGTTGTGCTTTTCTGTCTGAATCTACTGCTATTTCTGGGTCTCTGATTTTCCAAGTGCCTACTCTGGGATCTGTGAAGGGAAAAGGAAACAGGTGACTCGTCACTGCCGCGTTTTCCTTCGGGTCTAGTTTCTAGTTTTCTCAGGCAAGGTCTCTCTCTGTTGCTGTGAGGAGACACCATGGCCACGGCAACTCTTACAAGGAAAGCATTTCATTGGGGCTGGCTTACAGGTCAGAGGTTCAGTTCATTATCATCACTGTGGGAAGCGTGGAGGCACGCGGGCAGACGTGGTGTTGGAAAAGTCGCCGAGAGTCCTACATCTGGACCAGCAGGCAGCAGGCAGAGCGAGTGACACTGGGCCTGGCTTGAGCATCTGAAGCCTCAGAGCCCCAGTGACAGGCTTCATCCAACAAGGCCACCTCTCAATAGTGCAACCCCCTATAAACCCAGGGGGCCATTTTCACTCAAACCCCCACCCTCGTCATCTCTTTCTGGTCAACCGTTTGCTTTGTGTACACGCCCAGGTTCTGCACTGTTCTTGGAACAGGAACGAGACGTGTGTGCACTCTAGCTTGTCTGCACTCAGCCTTCGCTTTCAAAAGACTGCATCATACGGCTACGTCTAAGCACTTGAATGTGTGTGCATACAGGAGCCTGTGGAGGTCAGAAGATGATGTCTCATTCCCTGCAACTATGAGCTGCCAAGTGAGTGCAGGGAATTGAACCTGGGGCCCTCTGCAAACCTGAAAGCATCAGCTGCTAAGCCATCTCTCCAGCCCACTCTCTTTTTAAAAGACTTAATTAATTTTTGTTTTTCATGACAGGGTTTCTTTGTGTAGTCCTGGCTACCCTGGAACTCATCCTTAGACCAGGCTGGCCTCAAACTCACAGAGATCACCCTGCTTCTACCTCCCGGGGGCTGGGATTAAATTAAAGGTGGGTGCCACTCCTGCCAGACAAGATATGTTTTCTAAATTATGTCTGTAAGTGTGCATCTGTGTGTAGGCTCGGCAGCACTGGCTGCTCCCGCAGAGGACTCAGGTCTGATTCTCACACCCATTTGTCGGCTCGCAACCATTCACAACTTCAATTACAGGGGGCCTGGAGCCCCTTCCGGCCCCTGCGGGTACCAGGCATGCATGCAGTACACACATATACATGCAAGCAAAACACTCACATAGTAAAGTAAAATTAAATCCTTTAAAAAAACTAAAACAAAACACTTCTGAAAGAATTATATGGCCAACTGAGTTTTGTTTTGTTTTTGAGACAGGGTTTCTCTGTATTGCTTTGGAGCCTGTCCTGGAACTCACTCTGTAGACCAGGCTGGCCTCAAACTCACAGAGATCCACCTGATCTGCCTCCTGAGTGCTGGGATTAAAGGCGTGTGCCACCAATGCCTGGCTCAATTGAGTTTTTGTATTAAAAAATAAGTACTCAATACTAAAAAATTTGAAGTATGCTATATTCTAAATTATAAGCCATGTTCACAAATGGCAACAGACTGCGACACTTATCCCTAGAAGAGATGTATTGTCAAATGATTTATTTATTTATATTATTTGCCTGTGTAAGTTTATGTGCACCATATACATGCAGTACCCATGGAGGCCAGAAGAGGGCACTGGATCACCTGGAGTTGGATTTACAGATACGTAACTCCATGAGCTGCTATGTGAATAAGGGGAATTGAACCTAGGTCCTCTGCAAGAGCAGTAAGTTCTCTAAACCATTGAGCTATCCCTCCAGTGTCTAAAGGCACTATTTACTTGAAAAAAAATTGTTGAGGGGCTGGAGAAATGGCTCAGTGGTTCAGAGCACTAACTACACTTACAGAGGACCCAAGTTCAATTCCCAGCACCCACATGGGGGCTAACAAGATCTGTGATTCCAGTTCCAGGGTTACCCAATGCCCTCTTCTGGCCTCTGTGGGTACTGCATGTACACATGTGGCCCACACACTTAAATGCAGGGAAAGTATCTGCATACATTTAAAAATAAATCTCAAAAAAAAGTGTTGAGGATGTCAAACCGGGCTGCACTCAGCACTCAGCATCAGGTGAGCACAGCAATAATGACACAGATGTACACAAGGACACCGTCTCTGTACCAGTTTCCACCCCATCATCAGTGCTCACCTTCACGGCTGGCAGCATGTCCAAGGAGTCCAGGATGAAGAGCACCAGCGCCTGCAGCAGCATCATGAACTGGTTAAATTGCCATGTCAGGCTGAAGAGAAAGGTTGATATGAAAATGGCAAGAAGTGTCAGCCTCTGAGGAAAAGAAGAGAAACCTGTGGATAAGTTACGTCTCCAGTCATAAACCTCACAGTTATGCTTTCTTGAGAGTAGCCCGTATCCCTATAAACCACATAAAAGGAAAGACAGCATAAACTGCTCTGAAACCCTTGTATTTGTTACTTCAGCTGTAAATATCCCGAGGTGACATTCCCATATAAATATTCACATATGGTATGTGCATCGCACGCTGATCTAGAGGCCGTAATATACCAAGCCACAGCTCAAGAGCATGGCTCAGAAATTCTGACAGCTTCACAGAACTATGTGTGGGCTTCCCGCAACTACTTGAAGGTAGACTGCAAAGAAGTCATTTTTAACTTGAAAACATTTTCCTTGCAAAGGAGGAAAAAGCTCAGAGACAAAGAGCTCAGCTTGGAAATGAAGAGGTGGCTGAGCCCTCAAGAGTGCCTGCCGCTCTTACAGGGGACCCCAGTCCGGCACCCAACCGGGGCTGCGCACGGCTGTCTGTAACTCCAGCTTGACGAGATCAGTGCCCTTCTCTGCCTCCCATAGGCACCAGAACCCAAGTGCCTGCACCCATACACGGACACATGACTGCACACATATTTAAAAATAGTACATTTGAAACCAGGTGGTGGTGTTGCATGCCTTTAATCACAGCACTCTCGAGGCAGAGGCAGGGGGATGCCTTTGAGTCCTAGTCTACAGAGTGCGTTGCAGGACAGGCTCCAAAGCCACAGGGAAACCCTGCCTCAAAAAAATCAAAACAATAAAGAAGACATTTGGTTATGGGATGCGAGCTATCTCTGTGAACCGAAGCATCTTGCTTCTTAGACGAAACAGGGGGATTAAAGAGTACTCTAAAAACTTTGGGTTGGCAAAATACCTAACTGAGTAGAGACACTGAGAACCCCAGTTTAATCCCCGGGTCTCACAAAGTGGTGGGAGGGAAATGATTCCCCTGAGTTTTCCTCTGACCTCCCTATGAGTGCTGTGATACCCCACATACCCAGAGACACACACACACTCACTCACAGGCACATTCACTCACTCACAGGCACATTCACACACTCACAGGCACATTCACACACACACTCACTCACAGGCACATTCACTCACTCACAGGCACATTCACACACTCACAGGCACATTCACACACTCACAGGCACATTCACACACTCACAGGCACATTCACACACTCACTCACAGGCACAGGCACATTCACACACTCACTCACAGGCACATTCACATACTCACAGGCACATTCACACACTCACAGGCACATTCACACACACACACTCACAGGCACATTCACACACTCACTCACAGGCACATTCACACACTCACAGGCACATTCACACACACACACTCACAGGCACATTCACACACTCACTCACAGGCACATTCACACACTCACAGGCACATTCACACACTCACTCACAGGCACATTCACACACTCACAGGCACATTCACACACACACACACACACACACACACACACACACAGGAATAAGTAATCAAAGTGTTCTAGAAACTTACTTCAGAAAGAGGCTGTAAGTTTGGTCTCAGGAAGTAGGTAATTGATGCGATCTGAATTGCAAAGAAAGGCAGAGCCCAGTTCTCCCTCAGCGGGATGGTGAACTCAACTCTCGTGGTATCTGTTCTGTAGGAAGAGAACACAGACAACCAGAATAACAGTTCTCGTAATCACTTCCCCAAGGAATTCATACAGGGGAGGGCATGGGGCATTTTCTTCAGGGACACACATGTTCTGCCGTGGGTTCTGAAAGGCAACTGTCATCACCGCCTTCACCTCTATCACCTCCGTGACATGAAACCCCGTGCTCCTCATTAACTAAATGGTGGGATCGGAGTTCAAGCCCATGTTATCGAGGATACTGAGGCACCAAGGGCCCATGCCAACCCCCCCCAATATTTCTCTAGATGCTATAGGCAAAATCTTCTTTGCCGTTCTTTTTCTTTTAAAGATTTTTTTCTGTATGTGTGTTTTGCCAGCAGTGGCCAGAAGAGGGCACTGGATCCCCAAGAACTGTTGTCAGGGGTGGTTGAGAGCTGCCCTGTGGGTGCTATGGACCCAACCTGGGTCCTCAGCCAGAGGAGCCAATGCCAAGCCATCTCTCCAGCTCTCCAGACCCTGTTTTCCTTTGTGCTTTATATCTGAAACTTGCTGATGGCAGGAATGTTTTCAAAGAGCTTGCTCTAGTATAATGTCACCCTCCAGCGGGCACGAGGGGGTAAGCTTTCGCCTCTGTGTAGTCAGTACTGAGAGACACACATGGCCACACACCCACACTGGGGCAATCGATAGCCACTGCAAAGAGCGACAGTGCCATTCAGAGTGTGTGAGCACAAACCCAAGGTTCACAGCTCTAAAACCGAGGTGACAGCATCTACCTAGTGGGGTTGCTGTTTGCTTTTGAGACAGGGTCTCTGACTGTCCTGGAGCTCAGGACATAGACCAGGCTGGCCTTGAACTCTATTTGTTGTATACTACCCAACCCAGCCCCTTCTAGGGCTGTTAAAAGAATAGATTTTGTAAAGTGCTGGAACACATTACAAGCATCTGCTAGTCTTATAATAAAAAATAATTTTGGGAAGGCTGGAGAGATGGCTCAAAGGTTAAGAGCACTGGCTGCTCTCACAGAGAACCCAGCCTTAGGTCACAGCTCCACGTGAAGGCTAACAGGAACATACATGGTGCATATACACACACATACGTAGGCTAATATTCAAATGCATAAAATATGACTACATTTAAAAAACGATTTTCATATGACTAAGAAGAAAATCTATATGAGGATTCATATTAAGACTTTAGGGCCTTACCAACTATTGCTATTACTGCTACTGTAAGTTTCTTTTCAAGACCAGGGTCTCATTATGTAGTCCAGACTGGCCTGTTACCTGCTATATACTTCAGGCTGCCCTTGTACTTGTGGTACTCCTCCTGTCTCAGCCTCCTGAGTGCTAGGATTCACAAGGCATGAGCCACCGTGCCCAGCTAATAATCTTGAATATGTTTTTAAACTGCTACTTCATAAGGATTCCACATTTACAAATTAATGTAAAAATATAAAATAATTGATAACAATAAATAATGAAAGCACTGCATATACACAGCACTGTATATTTTTCTGCAAATCCTATCATGAAGGACAGGGAAGTCAGGTGAGGTGGGGAGGCCTCTGATTGCAGCAGCTTGGAAAGCAGAGGCAGGAGGAGCTGAATTCGAATGTGGCCTCAGCCTCAGAGCGAGTTCAGAGACAACGCACTGAAATCCTGCCACAAAATTAAAAAATTTAGAAGTTTGGGACATAGTTTAGTAGTCGAATGCTTGCAGGTCATAAACAATGCCATGGGCTCAACACACACACACACACACACACACACTCTCTCTCTCTCTCTCTCTCTCTCTCTCATACACACACACATACTTACACATACACTCAAACACATATGCACATACACACACTCTCACTTACATATACACACACATACATACATTCCCACCTATACTCACTCAAACTCACACACACACCCTCTTTCTCATATACACTCACTCACGCATACTCACACATACACTCAAACACATATGCACATACACACTCCCACATACATATACATACATTCACACCTACACACCCACTCACTCAAACTCACATACATACTCACACACACACTTACATATATACACTCACACATACTTGCACACACTCACATACACTGATGCGCACACACACAACACTCTCAGACATATACACACATATGCACATACACTCTCACAAACATACGCACACACATGCATTCATACACACTCTCACATACGTACGCCTGCCCTCCCACATACATACAATTATACACACAGTCGCATTCTCACACTCACATACATGCACTCATAGTCTTTCACACTCATACACCCCTGCTGTCACTTAGCTGTGCAGAGATGAGGCGGTGTGGCTAACTAAAGAAATACTGACCACAGAGCGGGCGGTCAAGTAACAGATGGGGCTGTGGTATGGTACTTCTCAGAGGGAAATCTTCTGAGCAGGGCTTTCTGTCTCGCTAAACAAGAAACATCCTTTCACCCCAAGAAATCACGGCACACTGTGCTCTGGCTCACCAGCCACATTCCTTTCAGCTACATTTGCACAACATTCTTACCCAAAACCAGGAAAGGAGAAGAGCAAACTGACCCAACTCACCTGTTGGTGACATACCAGAGAGCTGCCAACAGTCCTGACAGCCAGGTGCCGCTAAGGAGCCAGCTGGTTATATACAGAGCTGTGACATAGACTGCTTGGAGCCCGAAGAGAGTGTAGATATAAAAATAAACAGGTTCTAGATACTTCTGTAAAAGGCAACAATAAAAACTGAGCATCAGGGCTGGGGATGCAACTCAGTGGGAGCCGATTTGCCTAGCATCTTAGTTACTTTGCTCTTGCTGTGAAGAGACATTGTAACCATGACAACACATAGAAGAAACAGTTTACTGTGGGTGCAGTTTCAGAGGGTGAGTCCATTACTGTCATGGTGGGAACATGGCGGCAGGCAGGCTGGCTGGAGCGGTTACATTAATACAGTTTTGATTGGCTGAGGTTTTACTTTTCCCATCTTTAGGCACACACGGGGCAAGCCCTTGTTTGGTCACTGTCTTGTAACATTGTGGGGCTGGCTCAGGCTTTGTGTGGGTCTCTGCTCTCTGGGGTAGTGTTGACTAATGGCCCTTTGTGGGAAAAAACTTGTTCACTCTTAAAAACTGAAACCTAGGTCCGGCTATAAAATGGGAGAAATTTACACCTCTCAAGGGTAGCTGTCCTTCTTCAAACTAGCAAGAGAAGATGCAAAGGAGACCTCAAGACAAACCAATGCTGTCTAATCTGCCTCACTCACTTGAGAAGTGGTCACTGCGATCTGATAATTTTATGTATTTTTCTTTAAATCATAAAGGTAAATCATAAAGCTGGGCAGTGGTGGCGCACACCTTTAATCCCAGCACTCAGGAGGCAGAGGCAGGTGGATCTCAGTGAGTTTGAGGCCAGCCTGGTCTACAGAGCCAGTTCCAGGACAGCCAGGACTATTATACAGAGAAACCATCTTGACATTTCTCCTCCCCATAGAAAAACTGGTTAGCAGTAATGGATACACATTTTCAAGTGAAGCTGTCTGAAGCTTCTAGACAGCAGGCATATTATGAGATAAGCCAGGAAGCATCTACTTGTAAAAATAAGTAACAGTATTTTACAGGATTAAAAAAGCAAAACCACAAAAGCATAACAAAGCAAAGCTCTGGGAGCCCACAGTGACAATTCACTACAAAACCAGCTGAAATTGAAGAACACAATGAGACTCCCACTCTGACCCAGCAGGAGAGGACCTTCCTCAGACACTGAGAATCCAATGAAGAGGATGCACATACCTGGATGGGGAGAACTCTATATAAAACACTGAGAAAAACTTCTTGGTAAATATTCATTCGTTGAAGGAGGTTAATTGTCCTCATGGATTCAGTTTTATTGTCATAGATTAAGCCATGAAAACCTAAGGATATTTGAAAAAAAAAATCAAGAGAAAGAAATTACACTCATACTTCTCCCTCCATGCAACTTGACCCATGGACTGTTTAGTATGCTGACGGCGTGGTCACAACTGACTTCAGACTAAACTAGCGCCACAGTGACAAAGGCAGGGAGACAAAGAGACAGAAAACAGACATGCAGAACAATGGGAGACAACAAAGGGCCCAGCAATAAACTCATGCAATGACGGCGACCCAATATTTGACAAAAGCATCAGAAACGTGTGTTACACACACACACACACACACACACACACACACACACACACACACACACGCGCGCGCGCACGCCTAAGCAGTAGTGGCGCACACCTTTAATCCCAGCACTCTGGAGGCAGAGGCAGGCGAATCTCTGTGAGTTCAAGGCCAGCCTGGTCTACAGAGTAAGTTCCAAAACAAACAAACAAAAAAACCACAAACCACACCATCTATGGACACCTGCGAGAGGGGAACACTTCACACACAGCACAGGTACACTTAGGAATTTCCGAACAGAACCCTGACAGATTGCCACCCCCCCCCCAATGACAAATGTGATGACATGAATTTAAAGCTTGTGCACAGCAAAGGAAACACATCACAGAGCAGACACAAAGGCCTACAGGACGGGAGAAAATCTTTGCCAGGTACATCTCAGATGGACAACTGATATCTAGAGCACATAAAGAACTATAAAAACTGGACACCATAAAAACAAAACCACGAATGAATCAATAAGTGGGTTTATAAACCGTTGAACAGACAGTTTTCAAAAGGAGGAACACAACGGCTGACAGATCTTTTAAAAAGTGTTCAACATTCTTAACCATCAGGGAAACGCAAATTAAAGTGACTTGGAGATTCCATTTCACGCAGGACACACTGGGCATCATCAAGGAAACAAGTGTCAACAAATTCTGGAGAGGTCGGGGGCAGGAGGAGCCCTCGTTGACTGCTGGTGGACTGGAAGTTGGGACAGCCACTGCAGAAACCGGCATGGAGGCTTTCCAAAGAATTAGAGACACATGCCCGAGAAGCCATTGGCGGTTCACGCTTGCTGGGGCGGGCGGATTGATTTTCCTCGATGGTATAACCACTGCTAAGTTGCTTGTGCTCCAGTAAATGCCACCCACAAGCAATTATGCAGGCAACGACGATTTAACTCCGTGGGTCACAAACAAAATGAAACAAAACAAACCAAAGAAAAGATGTGATCAGCACACAGGAAACTTGTTAGGAAGAAAAGGTTTAGCAGAGACTGGGGGACAATGCGGGGTGTATTATACACACACATGAAATTTGGCAAAGAATTTTTTAAAAGAAAATTTCTTCCTCAAAAGTACTCATCATAGGATTGCTCGTCCCGTCGGGCCGTCAATAGCATCAGCTGATTTTGCCACCTGGCAGGGGTACGCAGTTCACTGATGGCCCTGATAGAGGGACTGCTATCACCCACGATGATGAGACCCCTGACCTGGGCTCACGCCAGCAGTGAGGGGACAGAGACCCAGCTCTACCCTCAGCATCCTGACAGGGTTCCTTAAATGCTCAGGGACCCTGACGCTTGCCAAACCAGGGTTTGTGGCTTTGATGCTGAAAACAGCTTGAGGATTAGCCAGTTGATCAAGGCAGAGCTGGACATTAAAGTTGTTAAGATAAACTGTCAAGAAGGGAGGGCGAGCACACCCAAGACACAGATCCCGGATGCTGTAAGAGCGCTCGCTGTACACTGTGCCCCATGGTGACTGCCTGCAGGTGTCGGAAGCCGTGGGAATTTCTCGGGACACTGCCTGCCTCCTTTGCCTGTTTCCCTCTTTGAGAGTTGGGAAGACAGGTTGGCTCCGAAGTGCCTGGAATGGGATTACCATCTGATAAAATAAAACCAGAGGCGATGGGAGTGGAGAGAAGGCTCAGCAGTTAGGAGCACCGGCTGCTCTTCCAGAGGACTCCAGTTTGATTCCCAGAGCTCACGTGACAGCTCACAACTATCTCTAATTCCAGTCCCAGGGAACATGGAACTGTCTTCTGACCTCCGCAGGCACCAGGAACACACACAGTATACAAGACATTCATACATTTAAAATTATGAGCCAGGTGTGGTGACACACGCCTTTATCCTGGCACTGGGGAGGCAGAGCAGGTGGATCTCAGAGTCTGAGGCCAGCCTGGTCTACAGAGTGAGTACTCTGTCTGAAAAAAAACAAAAACAACAAAAAGCCAAAAGGTGTGTGCATGTGTGCGTACGTACACACACACACAGAGACACACATACATATACACAGACACACACACACCATACACTCACGCGCGTGCGTGCGTGCGTGCGTGCGCGCACACCCACACCCGCCCCAATGCATCAGTGCAAAGCAGGCCTTGCCTGATGGCAGAGGAATTACAGCACCCAGACAGGAGCAGTTACGATTACCTTGCAGGAGGGTCGGCGCTTGCAGCATCTGCTTGTAGTATGAATAGTACAGTCCACACTCCGTCCTGAAGGAGATTTCTCGCTCCACTTCCTGAAACAAAGTGAGAACTACTGGGTTTACTTGACCTAGTTTTGTTGAAACACCCACCGTTACTATAGAAACAAGATGCAGAACTACAGAACTTGGGAGGGAAAAGATACTCTGCAAATTCCAGAAATCCCGCCATGGGGAGGCATGGAGGCACTTGCCTACGATCCCAGCAGGAGGCGGAGACAGGAGGGTCATGACTTCACGGCTGGTCTGGAGACTAAATGGAGAGATCCTGCCTCAAAGCCACCAAAAGAAGGCTGAGGATGCTGATGCTGGGCGACAGGCTGGATATCCAGGGGCTGGGTCATTATTCTCTCTACTTTTAGAGGTGAAACCACTTTTAAAACCAGACAGAATTTGTTCTACTTAAGTGGGTAATTCAAAGTTCATGGTTTCACACAAATTACAACAAAACAAAATCAAACAAACAAAAACAACAAAACCTCTTGAAAATCACTAGACCCAAGTAATAATAATAGTATCTCAGAGCAGTGGGGAGGGAGAGATGGTTCAGCAACAAAGAGACTGTAGACACATTGTTTTTAAAGGAAGTATAAATGATTTAAAAGACTTTAATCTATGCCATCACAGACTCCTTTACGCCAGTGTTCCAAAAGCCAGGTCCTAGAGCTGAGATCACACTGGAAAAAAAGCAGTGCCATACACGTCACCACACACCTCAGGTAGCCAGGCGAGGCCATAAACACACACACTGGCTGCTAAAGTCCTCATGTCAGGACCACGAGTGTTTCAGAGTCATAAACACTTATCTAAAAAAACCATTTATGGGCTGGAGACATGCTCATCAATGGTTAAGAGTACTGGCTGCTCTTGCAGAGGACATGTGCTCACGACTGTCCAGGGGGATCTGCTGCCTCCTTCCGGTGTCTGTGGGCATTGCATGCACACGGTACACTTAGAAACATACAGGCACACAGTCATACACAGTAACATTAAAAAAAAACAATAAATTTTTAAAAAGGAGAACCACTTGGGCTATTATATTCAGACCTGTGAATTAATGTGTTTCTTCTACTCATCCTTTAAAAATACTATGAATCTGGGCCAGTGAGTGGGCTCTGCAGATAAAGGTGCTTGTTGCCAAGCCTGACAACCTGAGTTCCATCCCCAGGATGCACAGGGTAGAAATAGAAATCAGACTCCCATAACTTATCCTCTGACCTCCACACATGTACCCTGGCAGATACGTGCTCCATTCATCATGCATGTATACACGGGATGGGGAGGGGAAGAGATGCAAAGCTTAAAAAAATAGAGTAAAATCAGCCTGGTCTACAAGAGCTAGTTCCAGGACAGCCTCCAAAGCCACAGAGAAACCCTGTCTCAAAAAACAAAACAAAACAAAAAAATAGAGTAAAATATACAAACACTAAGAACCCACTCCCATGCTTATGTTAAAATCACTAGTGAAATATTCCTAATAACTAAGAGTGTGCAAACACAACCTGCTGAGATGGCTGGGCAGGTAGCCTGCCATGAAGCCTGATGACCTGAGTTCCATCCCCTGAGCCCACACGGCTGAAGGAGAACAGACAACTCCTACAAGAGGTCCTCTGACCACCACAGATATGCCACGATACACCACAACACACACACACACACACACACACACACACACACACAATTTAAATGGAATTGCATAAGAATGTCAAAATATCCAACTATTGACTCTAGGATAAACTATCAACTTGTATTTACTCCTTCTAGGAACACGTGAGGACAAACTTTATATATGCAACGTACTTTCATAGAAAATGAACATATCTTGGGGGAAGTTAAGCATTAAAGCAGAGGAAAGAGGGGAGGAGGAATGAGGGAGAAGTGTGGGAGGGAGGGAGGGAGGGAGGGGGGAAGAGGAGGAGTCTGCTAGGCACAGCGGCTCAGGTCTGTAGTTCTGGTACCCAGGAGGTGGAGACAGAAGGAAGGACCACAGCTAGAAGTCCGGCCTGGGCTACACAGTAATATTTCATCTCAAAATAAAAGTTTTAGAAGGGATGGAAGTACACACTTTTAATGCCAGCACTCGGGAGGCAGAGGCAGCAGGTGTGAGTTCGAGGCCAGCCTGGTCTATAGATCAAGTTCCATGACAGCCAGAGCTACACAGAGACCCTGTCTCAAAAAAACAAAGTAAACAACAAAGAGGTGCTACAGAGTGCCCGTAAGTATACACTAGCCTGGCCTGCACAAGGGTTTGATCCCTGTAGTGCAAAAGCAAAACGAGACAAAAGCCCCACACGACACTCAGCCTCAGCACCCCTGCTTCATGGGAAGGACTCTGGGGGCCAGCCCCCCTCCTCAGCTTCCATAGTGGAACCGACTTCTCAACCGCCCTAGCCATCTTCCATCTTTTGGAACACATGCTCTGTTGCTTTTGGTCGTATAAAACCGAACTGGTACCCTGCGGTTCTGTGCTGTCCAAACTCCCACTCAGGTAGACAACCGTGGAGGCTGCCTATTGGTGTTAACTGAGCAAATACTAGCTTTTGTCCGTGCAAAAGAGTAAAACGAAAATAAACCCACATTAAGTGTAATTACACCCCTCTTTTCTTCCAGCTGCCTCGCAGTGTTTGCAGGGCTGACTGCCTTCCACAGGGCAGCCTGACTCCCGGAGGGGGAGCCAGCGGTCAGTCACATCTTTGGGTTTCACTTCCTATAAAACTGTGAGAATAAAAAAAAAAAAAAAAAAAAAAAAAAAGTCTTATAAAGATGGGGGGGGTTATTCAGTGTAAAAAGTGGAAAGCTTTCTTATGCCCTTCCTCCTCTTTACAACATCCAGAGCAGTAAAAACCAAAGGGGGATCTAATTAGTAAAAAACGCATTCAAACATGATTAATTGGTAATCCTGGCACCAGCTGTCTAGAACCAAATGCTATCCTTTATTAGACAGACACTCGCAAGTTTTACATCTGCTTCGTGCTACGAGAACATCTGCTTCACTCAAACGCTTTCCCAGTTCTACAGCAATTTATACTTTGTCTGGTGGTTTGCGCCAATGAAAATGTACATCCGTAGATGCTACCCTCCGCAGAATGCAAAGCGGACAAATATTCCACAGTTTAATTTGCATAGGTTCTGAGGGGAGAGCAGCACTTGCTGGAAGAATTGTCTGAAAATAACGACGGAAAGAAGAAAGACAGATGAACGATGAACGGAATTCTTTTTTTTTTTTTTTTTTTTTTGTTTTGTTTTTTTTTTTGTGAGCATGTGTGCACGTGCACACGCAAGCATGAACCCACAGAGCCAGCAGAGGGTGTCAGACCTCTGGATGCTAGAGTTCCATGCAGTTACAAGCAGATAGTTAAGGGTGTGGAAACTGAACTCGGGCCCTCCAGGAGAGCAGCAAGCGCTCTTAACCTCCAACCCATCTCTCTAGACCCGTGAACTATAGTTTTAAAGATCCACATCCCTAAAAACTCTGCAGTAGTAGCTTGGATAGCAATTTACGTACTAAAGGGGAAAAACAGCTCCTGGTCTGTACCCCAGGGTTGTGTGATCAAGCTTCTGGATATGCCTGAAAGGTTATCAGGCCCTTGGAGACAAATGACACCCAATTTGGGAACACATCAAGCTCAGTTCTTAAAATTTCACATCAGTAACTTTCGTTGATAAAAACTGTTCCCTCCCTACCCCCCAATAATTAAGATGCTGGGAATGGAGAAGCCAACGACCCATTTACTCTCTGAAACGCTGTTTCAAGAGTTAGGCTAACAAATCATCTCACCAAGATATGGGAGCTCAAGGGAAGACAGCTGTGCAGAGAGCCACACTGGGAACCATGTCCTTGGCAAACGTATTTACTGCACGTACATGGTTTATTGTCTGGTTAAATTCACATCCATCTGTTAGGATGTAAGGATTCCTGCCCCCAGAGTTGATTAAAGCTGTGACACGTGACAGCTGACAAGCAGCGTTGGTGAGAAGGTTAAGTCTTGCAGGCTCTACCAGCTCGCACTGGGCCTGCCTGGAAGCCATCAGCATCTTTGGATTAACCCTGGCTATTCCAGGGACACCTCGCTTTGAAGAAGTGTGCAAATGCCACAGGCTGAAACCTATCACGGCAGGCAAGCTGGTGAAACAGAAGCCCAAGGAAACAGGCTTGGAAGAAGCCAAGGGAGCCGAGCAAACAAGGCGGGAACAAAAGAGGGCTAAGAATCCAGCCCTAGATCCAGAAGAACAAGAAGGGACGGCGCTTAAGGGAAAGGCTCCTGGAAGCCTAGACGTAAGTCTAGTTCCATCCAGATCCAGGGGAGTCTAACCCAGTCCTCTAGCTTCCACAGTCACCCGGTATGCACATGGCTCACACACACACACACACACACACACACACACACACACACACACACGTGCAGGCAAAACACTCACATGTGTAAAATGAAACTAAGAAACAAAACAACTAAAAAAAATGCTGCAAGTAGCTGGGTATGGGTGTGGTGGAGCATGTCTTTAATCACAGCACTTGGGAGGCTGAGGCAGGTGGATTGCCATGAGTTCCTGGTTTGCACAAGTGAGTCCCAGGCTACCCAAGTCTAAATAGATGAACCCTGTCTCGAAAAAGGGAAAGGACAGAGTGGTGAGGAGGTGTCTGGGCAGAGATCTGCAGGTAACCGTGGGCCAAACGGATACCTGAGGGAAAGGCCTGCCAGTCACACAGCAGCGTGCGTGAGCACCAGGGACAGCCGGAAGGCGTGGCCGCGTGGGTGCGGTGACTGTAGAGGAAGAGCGGGCACGAAGGGCAGGAGCAGGTAATGGAGGGCACCCCGTCTGCTCCCAGCTGTTCTTGAGAGCTAGGAAGGGTTAAGTGTGCAGAGGGAAGTTAGGAGTTTGTTTTTATACCAGGTGACTTATATTTATTTAGAGACAGAGCCTCACTAGCAAGCTCAGGCTGCCTGGCACTAGGATTATAGACATGTACCACCATGCTTGCACACACACACACACACACACACACACACACGACCCTATATAATACATCCACATTG